TTGGTTAGGCCTATAAATTTTTCCTTATTAGTCCATTCTATAAAACATTGTCTAAAATGGTAACAGGGAGTTATATTAGTTTCATGACTTTTTGTCAAAGTAAGTTGTTAAGAATTATATAGCCTTATATGGTTTTTAAGAAAACATTATCATTTGAAGCATATGTATGAATTAATTAACATTTTTATCACTTTTAATTCTTATGGCGCACAACAGAAATCGAAAATATTTTACACTGTAATAAATAGATTTTGTAATAAAAAATATTATTTTTAGAAATGTCTTGTATCAGGCGCGTATGCAGGAATTTGATCTGGGGGGGGGGGGGGGGGATAAGAAATTTTTTTAAGAAATATTATTGTTTTTTAAAAATATCAAGCATAAATTTATTAGGACTAATAACTATTCCTAATACACAAATTTAAATTAATGTGAATTATAAAAAAATTATATGTAAAGAATCACAAATGACCCAAAATAGAAATTTGGATTTTTTGAGCCTTTGCACAAAATGTTTCTTAGGAATAATTGTATTTTGTATGTTATATATTTACAATGTAAAATCCAATCTTCGTTGGGATTGAGCTAATTTTTCAATTATCTCATCCTTGCTTGTCGCCAAATGCCTATGAATATTCAAAAGATCCAAACCTTTCAATCTACTTTCACATGTTGTACTTCTTGGTATGTTTTTCAGAGACCTGCTGGCCCGGCCCCTTGCCGGACAATATTTTAATTTTTTTAAATATACCCGGGCCGGGCCCGAATTTTTTTTAAAAAAACACCCGGGCCGGACTTGAATTTTTTTAAAAAAACACCCAAGCCGGGCCTGAATTATTTTAAAAAAAACACCCAGACCGGGCTGTATTTTTTAAAACAGCCTATATTATAAATCGTTATTATTAGCTATAAAAATCAAAAATAAATATAATTTATTTTTAAAATAACCGGGCCGGGCCTGAAAATTTTTTAAAAAAAACCCAGGCCGGGCCTTAAAAAATCTTTAAAAAAATTCCGGGCCGTGCCCTGCAAATGTTACTTCTGCAAGCCTCTGTTTTTCTTCTTAAAAAAGAGAGTGTTTTCTCATTAGTTTACTAATGGGAAGAGTTTATAAACCCTTTTAATACATTGGGAATTTAATCTAAAATGTGTTTGAAATAATGCAGAGCATCCATATCATTTTTTGGGACTATATCAACTATAGTTAATCTTATAAACATAGTTATTCAGCTAGTAAGGCATCATAAGATACTTTTACATCTTCATAATAAAAATTTAATAAATATTTTTTTTCTATCACCATCTGAAAAAGGTTGGGAAGGCTTTTGTGGAAGTATTATTTGCAGATGTAAGTGCTGCATGATGAATTAAAAATTCATTTATTTGGGTTATAAATGTATCTGCATCTAAGATATACTCTTCTACTGATCCTATATTAATGTTTTAACGATGAGCTTGCCTTGCTACAAGTCGAGGGAAACAAATATTAAACACGTATAACTCTGCTTTTGACTCAACAATAAAATATAAAATATGAATTCTTCATCAACGCCCTTATTTTCTTGACTGATAAAATGCTTTCCGCTATTATCATCTTCTTAATCAAATCAATGTCATGTTTTTGAAAAGTAATACTTAAAATAGTTGTATAATTAAATAATACATTCTAATGAGAAATAAAATTTGGAATAAGCATTGAATCCAATAATTTTCTTGCTTCTGAGGAAATATTTCTTTCAGGCCATTGTGATATTTCAGTAATAACAAATAATTGGCCTAACTCCTTAATAGTTGTTAGTGCTTGATGGAAAAGGCTCTATCTCGTTGGACAAGGTTGCAATTTCTTTTTCCCTGTTGGACCAGAAGTTTCAGAAATAATTATTATTTGACTAGAAATTTGAAAATGGTTGATAAATATTACGGCACTAAAAATTTGAAAATAATAAGTAAATATTACACCGGAAAACGTGAAATCGAAATTAATTGATAAAATAACTTATGAACGAGATAATAAATGTAATAAAATATATATTTAATATGAGATACGAATAAATATTAACAAATATAAATTAATATAAACAATAATATTTTTGAAAAATATATCCGGCATCTGCATTTTTTGGCTTTGGGGGTGGGGATTTGCCCCCCTGCCCCCCCCCCGCTCCGTACGCCAATGTCTTGTATTGTTTTAATTATTTATATGCTATTTTGTATGCATAATATAATAAATGACAAAATATATGAAATTCAGAATAATTGTTCAGAGTTAACAAATTTTAAAAAGTATAATATATTAATATAAATCCAGGCCGACCCCCCCCCCCAAGCCCCTCATAAATTTTATTTAGTTGAGCCCTATGAGATTGTAAAGGCTAGCGATGCCCCTGAAGTGTATGGTCATTAGCTGCTAAACACTTATATAATTTTTTATCTTAATTAATATTAGAACCTGTGTTTATGACAATAATCATCATTAAAAATTGGTTAATGATGCTTGGTACCTTAAGGTACCATCTATCAAATTTGAATTTTGTTCATTTTTTATTTGGATAGGCACTACCAAATATATTTATAATATGAAAAATCGTGGTTTTTGGAATGCCTCTATGGCCTAGTATACAAGAGCTTGGTTTACTTATTCCATGGTCCCGGGTTCGAATCCCGAAAATGATCATGTTTTTTTTCTTATTCTAACTTGATGGTTCCATCCTTGGGGGGATAATATATAGGAGGCCGGACTGGACCACGTGATTCCATATAATATATTTAATAATAATGATCTTATTACATTTTAATAAATTTTGGTCGGTATTTAGCAAATAAGGTTGGTATTTAGAATATTTCCATACATTCACTTGGTAGTAAGCATCTTTAACCTTAAAAATTAGGGATGTGAATTGGAACCCGGACCCTGAACCCTCCTGAACCCTCGTATTTTGGCTGAACCCGGACCCGGACCATTTTTAAAAGTGGAGGGCCAAGGGTTCTAGGCAGTGGCGTAGCTAGGAATTTTCCTTAGAGGGGGTCCATACATATAAAACCCCCCAGACCCCCCTTTAACGGGCCTTCGGCCCTTTTGGCCTTCGGCCGGGTTTATCTTACAAATCATAACCATATCTTCGATAATATATAATAAATATATTTTTTTAAAGGCATCAATAATTTGTTTTATAATTTAGTAGATTATTCTCAATCTTTATAATAATACTATCCAGAATAATTTTAATAGTAATATAAAATCCTTCCACAAACAACAAAACCAGAAAAATAAAAATATTATTGGTAATTATTTGTTATAAAGTCACCACTTATAAGTCTTTTGAACTTATAATCTAAAAATAAATTTTTGCTCTGGGAGGGGTCCAAACCCGAAAACCATCCACGTAGCTACGCCACTGGTTCTAGGTGTCAATTTTCATAAATAAAAAAAAATTTTAAAAAATAATATAAATTTTTTTCATTTTTTTTGTGGAATCCCTTATTTTATCTTCGCGTTTTTTTTTCAATTTTCTTCCTGGACTTCCATTTTATTTAGAGATTAATATCATTAGTGTAGGTAATAATATTTTATTATCTAAATTTTTTAATATGCTAAGTTATAGAAATACGTTGATTATTTTTAAGGTGAATTGTGTAATAATATTCTAATTTAAATGATAATGCACAATACGTTGGTCCTCAATTTTATGATGTTAGAACGATTCTTAAGTCTGAAAGATTTCTTATTATAAGAGTATGTGAAGTCATTTTGTCGGAAGATGGTTGGTGCCAAATAAAGGACCTTACTAGTGTATAGTTCCTTTAAAAATGATAATATTAAGACAATCAGAACAATTATGTTTATTTGATTTTTATGGCATATGGATTAGATACCGATTAGATTTAGAAAAATTTACAATCATTTTTATACGAATATTAGAAAACATGAAAATTCGAGAGCAACAATATTTGCAAAATAGTGTTATATACACTTCTAGATATTTAGACCCTCGATATCAAGTTTTATTGAGTATTGAGCATAAAGAAATGGCTTAAGACCATCTTAAGGAATTATGGCATATGCAAGACTCCATTATTTATAATATATTGGAGGCTACGACAATACCTACTGGTTATAGTGATAATAATAATAATGATAGCAACATTGGTGATCTTGAAATTTTACTTTTAGATAGAGAATAGAGAAAAAAAATCAAATTGTCATCAGATAGAAAGGAGGATCAAAAAAAAATGCCTATTGCATCTTTATTAGTAAAATTCTCAGAAGTTAAGAGAATAAATAAGGATATAAATATTTTAAAATTCTGTGAAAAAAATTCTTTAATATACCCAGAATTATATATCTTATCTACAATCTTCATGGCTGTACCGGCGACACAAGTACAATAATTTTATAAAGATAGGTATAGGTAGAATGTAAATTTTCATCTTTGAAATATATATTGTCTTTGTCTACTATTCGTGGAAATATCAAGGATGATATTTTAGAAGAAATTATGATTGTGCGATTGAATAAAACATTTAAAATATAAATTATTTTATTTTTAAATTATTCATTTGTAAATTATAAATATGTAAAAAATAAATGAATGAAAAAAAATCTTATTTTGAGTTATTATTTTTATGTTGCCTAAACCCGGTCCCGAGCCCTGGACCCTGGTTCTTTTTAAATTTTATTCCTTAACCCGAACCCGAACCTGGACCCTTTTTTTTTGTCAAAGGGTTTACATCGCTGTTAAAAACTTGGTTTAAGAATAAATCCCCATATTAATTTTATAAATATTTGGAAAATATATCCGTAATTAGTATTTTATAAACTATAAATTAGTTAACTGAAGATGAGTTTGGGGGCAAAGACCTCAAAAATAATTACGAAAATCAACTAAATTGAATAATTTTACCTAGAATTATTGATCATGTAACAAAATAAAAATGCATTCATAATTTTAAATTTCAAAATTTTCAATTTTTCCCACTTTATAGCTTATATTTATTATAAATTAATTAAATGATTATATAAAATTTATACATTATGAAATCTTATCTCTTATATGTGATAATTTTAAAATTTATTGTTACCTATCAGATTGAGAAGGGCGATGTATTAATTGCAGAAGAGTTTATCAATTATATAAATAAAAGTCCATCACCTTGGCATGGTATATAAAAATATATTATCATAATTATAATTATTTTATATTAGCTGTTGATGCAACAATTAATGCCTTAAAAAAATCAGGATTTGTTGAACTAAAATTAGATCAAATTTGGCAATTAAGAAGACAAGGGAAATATTTTTTGACTAAAAGTAAATCAACACTTTTAGCCTTTATAATCGGAGGAAAGTATATAAATGGAAATGGGTTTTCAATCATTGCAGCTCATACTGACAGTCCTTCCTTGAGAGTTAGTTTTTAAGCCTAATTATATATCTTATAAATGTAGGTTAAACCTATATCAAAGAAAACAAATAAAAATTATGTTCAACTGGGAATTCAAACATATGGTTCTGGAATGTGGTATTCATGGTTTGATAGAGATCTTACTCTTGCTGGTATAATAACATCTCAAGTAAATAATCATTATTTTTTTTAAAAATTACTAAAAAAATTTTCTAGAAAAATTCTTCTATACAGTTTAATCTATTCAATGCAAATAAACCAATACTTAAAATCCCCACAATAGCTACACATTTGCATTCATATCAAAAAGAGTTCTCTATAAATAATGAGTTTCATCTGTAAATATTTACAAATTTATTTTTATATGTCATTTAGCACATATTTATTATTTGCAATTACTGCAAATTCGACCCAAAATTTTTATGTTAGGCTTGATCCCAGCCTATTCTTAATTTAAAAAAATATAAATTACGTACTTTTAAATAAAATAAAAATCTCTAAACTTTTTCCTATCTTAATTTTAATTATCATAAGAAGTAAAAACATCATTTTTTAAAAGATTAATTTTTGGGTATGACCCAACCCATTTTAAAAAATAAGTAAATTTAGGATCTATTTAGATTTATAATTAATTTTTGAGAACTGGTGTACAGTTTCAATCCTCAACTTTTAAAATGAAGCATTTCATTCAACATTTAGAATATAATGTTTAAAAAAAGGAGTTTATGATTTTTTTCCAGTCCACTTTTTTAAATTTCAATATTTTCTTCTTTTATTCTAAGATGAAGATTACATTAAGTACAAGAGAGAAGAACTACATTTCTGTTCACTTTTGATAAAATGTATTTTATTTTGTTATGTATGCTTGATTGAACTAAAAATAAAAATATATGATAATTTGTCTCTAAATTAATAACTATTTAATTTACCTAGCACAATAAAGTATATAAGGGCTAATTAAAATGATGTGGTTGGTAGTGTTGTTAAACGGCTTGTTTTGAGCCGATTTTTAAAAACGGCTAACTCAATATTTCATCTAGAATAATATTACGCAAGCCTGAAGATTTTGTTTGTAGAAGTAACAATGGTTTGGACATCTATTAGCGAAATCTCTAGGCTTATGCAATATTTTTCTGCCTAAAATATTGAGTTAGCCGTTTTTAAAAATCGGCTCAAAACGAGCCGTTTAACAACACTAGTGGTTGGTTAGTTATTTTCTAATAATTTTAAAATTTAATGATTTATATAAAAAAATTGCCTGTAATTAATATTAGTTTGATATGGTTGTCACTAGGGAAGAGGTGCACAGGGGCTTGAGTACCCTGAAAATTTTGAAAAATTGTTTTAATAATAGCTATATATATCACCTATGGTTTATATAATTTTTTACTAAAATTTACAAATTAGTTTTCTTAAATTAATAACTATTTTATTTACCTAACAGAATATATATAAGGACAATGGTTATAATATTTATATTTATAACTATATAAACCAATATATAAAGCAATAACCCCTCCCAATTTATTTGGCACTCTTTGTAGGATCCCATAGGCAAAAAGAAGATATCATTCAGGTATAATATGTGGAGGGGTGGATAAAGGATTAATTAATTATATTATACTCAGTGAATAATTTAAAAACCATTTTAATTTTCTTTTATGAACTACTTAAGTATTTTCTAACTAGTTATATAAATGTTTTGGAAATAGAAAATGAACATATGAGAAGTAATGAATGTGATATTTTATCATTTTTTGATATAATTTTTAAAAATTTTTTATTAAATATCTGGCTGGCCATGATTTTATCTTTTAGCCTAACCTGCTCCAGGTTTATGAAAAATTTTTGCCTAGCCTTATCTTGATTAAAATCCTTTCGCGCCCCAGCAAGATCATTTGTCATCAAAATTTTTAATCAATTAATTTTTATATTTAAAGAATTAATGATTGGTACTAATTTATAAAACAAAATTTATTATTTCGTATTTTATCATTAACCTGTCAAAATTATTATTTTATTATATCAAAATGTCAAAATCATTATTTTATTATCAAAGTACAAGTATTTTTGTTCATGGGAAATATTTTGGGCACAAAGGGGTTAAAAAAAAAATTAGGCATGACCAGGGTTTAGTTTCAAAAATTTTTTTAATGGCCTGACCCATATATTTGGGTCCGGCTTTGGTTGGGCCTGCAATATAAAATTATTACCACAAGCAAAAAACCTGAAAAAAAATGACATCAAATATTGATAAAATTTCTATTATTAATATAAAAATGGCATTCCAAATTGCAATAAAAAAATTGAGCAATGATTTTCTGTGGATTTTATTTTAAAGTCCATCATTATTAGATAGGAAAAAAAATATGCATTTCTATCCAAAATGGTAAAAAATTTATGCTGCATAATAAATGTTAACATCGGTACCTAAAGCTATATCACTTTTTCCATATTTTTACCTGTTACTCAAAATAAAATTAATGCCGTTTACTATAAATTTAAGTTTTTTAAAAAAATGATATTTTACTCATTTTGAATTGAAATCATACTTTACAAGGTGTAATGTTAAATTATCTAATTCTACATTCCACTACGTGCCTTTTGTACGTAAGGTTAAAATATTTAAATAAAATCAAAAAATATATTATTTTTTTTAGAATAAAAACACAAAAGAATATATTTTTTTTTATAAATATATTCAAAAAAATCTACCAAATACCAACCAATTAGCCATTCATTTTATTATTATTTATGTTACAAATAGCAACTGGAATGTTAGTTGATATGATTTTTTATATATAACAAATAACATTTTATATAGAAGAAAAGAAAAGAGGTAATCTTTAAAAAACAAAAGATTTTTAAAAAAAAATTTCCATGATTTATTGTAGAGAACCTGCATAATTTTTGATCATTTTACAGCCTAAATTTTTTTTGTTATTTCTGAATAATTTTAAAAATTGTTTTATTATAAGCCTATACTTGAACCCATTCCATTGGTCACTCGCCCAGTTACCTTCTAAATGTGGCGGTTTAGACCATTTTTTTGCCATTCAATCTTCCTTATCTTCATTTTTTATTCGTCCAGATTTAACACACTCAGTTTTCATATGCTACACCGATCGCTTATTATTTGACGTAACTAACAAATGGGAAGGCTAAGATACCCATTAACACTCATTTACCTTCAATCATCAATCACACACAAAAAATACCGATATATCAGTCAATCCACCTTTAGATTGCATTCAACTCCTTGAATCAACTGACATACTTGATGGTCATGAATGGCTAAAAATCACTCCCTTAGTAGTAACCTTGGTAATTCTTATCAGACGAATAACCGAGAGTCGCCATTGGTTTACCTCTAGGTTGTGACATGGTGACATCGAACGCTAATTACAGGTCGATTTATAGGGTAGCCACGGCCTTAGCGACACCAGCTGATAAAGATTTTAGCCAAAATAATATTATGTAACGCTCATAGATGGTAGAAAGATTTTGAACCTCTATTTGTCAAATCTCGAGGCTTACATATAAATAAAAATCATTAACCAAAATTTCCTAATTTATAAAAAACAATTTAAAAAAACGAAAATCGATATTAAATTCACGCATTCATTTATATAAATGGAAAAATGGTGGCTCATTATTATTATAATGGGGTTTAAAATTTAAAATCTATAAATAACGGGTTGAAATAATATAACTAATTCAAAATATAATAAAAAAAAATTATTGCTATTCATCATCCCTTTAAATTTGAAGGTCGCAAAATTAAAATATTTTCCTATTTTAATTTCCTCTAATTGGTTAAAGTAAAAATAGACCTATTATTTAATTTCTATAAAATATTAAAAAATTAAAAATTACATATCTTTTTTTGGATTTTCATTTCTAATAGAAAAGGTATAAAAAAATTAAATCATTTATTAAATCTTAAATTTTTTTTCCCCTCAAGGAATGACTATAAAATTACAGGTCGACGCGAAAAGACTTTTTGCGTCGGGTTGGGTAACCGCGTTTTTCCGGATCGGGTCGAAAAATTTAAGCGGATTTGCATGGCGGGCCGAAAAGATGCTACAAAATAATGATTTTATGGGTTGGCCAAAAGAATAATTTATAAGCCGGGTCTAAATAAAATGGATTATTAAATATTTTAGATTAAAACAAATATATACATTTATTTATAAAAATTTGAAAAATCAAGGCACCCTCTTATATAAAGTAAGAATTATATTTTTGACAAAAATTATATCCACTAGGATAATAAAAAAAATAAGCAAGCAAGCACTATCAAAAGGGAGTTACTATTCCCCTTCCCCCGATTTTGGGAAGTTTATTCTCAACCATCATTTGACAAAAACTCTATTCCTTAAATTACATATTTTGATACGTAAAAAAAAACATTTAAAACAAAAAAAATATTGTTTTTTTCGAATGTAATCATTTTTTTAAGTTGAATTAAATAAATTTCTAATTCGAAAAAAAAATTTTTTTTAAAATTTTAATCTCAAAACTATTTTTGTTTTCGATTTGATTCAACTTCTTATTACATTTACATTAGAAAAATAGAATCTTACATGCTAGAGACTAGAAGTCTGCAATGAGCGGATTTTCAGCAAAGATGCCAGCCCAATCGTTGTTTTAAAATTTTTTTAGTTTTAATCTCAAAACTATTTTTGTTTTCGATTTGATTCAGCTTCTTATTACATTTACATTAGAAAAATAGAATCTTACATGCTAGAGACTAGAAGTCTGCAATGAGCGGATTTTCAGCAAAGATGCCAGCCCAATCGTGGTTTTAAAATTGTTTTAATCCGCCCGCTCATCCATTTTTAATTTTACCCACCCTACCGCCCATTATTTTACAATTTTATTTAACCCGCCCGCCACTTAAAAAACCCGACCACGCCCGCTACAAATATGGGCGGGCGGGTTAAAAATCCGCCCAATGCGGACCTCTACTAGTGACTTCTTTGAATTTCCTTTTGTTTCAGGTAAATATTGATATGCCACATTGGTTAAAAGGCCTAACCCAAACAAGCTTAAAAAAATAGATTTGAATTCTTCACGGCTGTTGTAAAAATATGGTGTTCGTTTATTTTGGGGGTCAGGCCCAATGACATATAATAATACCTAGACCGACGATGTTTTTATAATAATTCATTAGAAAGCGTCGTTAAATGCAAATCAGCTGGATCCATTTTTAACCTATATAGTAATTATCATCTTAAAAACAACTACTATAAAATTGGTAACTTGCTTCCTTAATTATCTCGATGATCAGGCAATTCTTTAATAAAGTTTGTGTCAGACAAATGGCGTTTTCAGCTGTTTTTTGATGTACACTTTTAATGAAATCGTCAGTCTAGGTATTATTATATGTCATTGGTCAGGCCTTAATTAGGTTAGGAAATATTTAAGATATAATAGTGTATAAATGATGAATATACCGATAAATGTAAATATAATTTTTAAAACGAATTTGATAAGAGTACCCATTCTATCTCTCAAGCTGGAGGACAAGGAGACCAATGAGACATCCAATCATCAAAATTCATTAACTTCCAGTTCCGACTCTATCAAAAAAACTTTGAATCAAAAATATTTTTCCGACGGTCACGATCGGAACCTCATGGAGTTTATCGCGAACACCCTGAATTTGACTTCGCCCCACCAAATATTGGACATGGATCTATGCTTAGCCGATACTCAGCCCGCGGTACAAGGAATTATATTCTTAAGATCTATCATAACCTAAAGATAACTTGCTTTCGGTTCAGTTATAACTATAATCGTGACCTTAGTGTTTCATAAAATTTTTGCCTTTTTGCCCTTATATGTATATTATGGTCGACAGACAATCTATACATTATTATTCTTGGTTCTTGGGTATTTTAATCGGTTCCGATTGATTAGTTGATCTTTGCCCCCCCCCTATGATTATTCAACTTTTTAAAATTTATTTGCCTCCTAATTTTAATGAGACTAGTGGAAGGTCAACCAAAATCAGTTCCCCTTCAAAATCCGTAAAACATTCGGGAAAATGTCGGCCACATTCAGATTAAGCTTAGAAAAACTAATGCCGGAGGAGGGAGGGGAAAATGAGCTATACATATTCCTTTTATACCCCCTTGACAATACAGATTCAATATGGAGAGCAAAAAAGTTTTTAATAAAAAAGTTGATCTGCAAAGTTAGGCCCGGCCCGGACTCGGGTCTAATTCTATTTAAAATACTCGGGCCGGGCTGGGCCTAATACTTAAAAAAATTCGGGCTGGGTCTGGTCGGACCTTGGAAATTTTTTTAAATATATCTTAAATTTATCGATTTTATATTGAATTTTTTATGTAAAATAAAAAATATTTGATTTTATTTATTGAAACTAAACGACATATAACAGCTGTCTTTTATTTTGAAGTAATTATAAAAATTAATTTCTATATTTAAATAAATTAGGGCCGGGCCGGCAAATCTTTGTAAAAAAAATTTCGGGCAGGGCCGGGCATGAAAAATTACGACCGATGCAGATCACTAACTTGATTAAATAAGATAATAGGATAGGACCGTCAATATGAAGCAGAAATTATATCTTACTTGCACTCAAAATATGGGGGGGGGGGGAATTGGAAAAGTTAAAAATAAGATTAAAAAATTACAATTTATAGAATAAAGCAAAAAAAAATAATAGTTAGATGCATTAAATTACAACACCATAAACTTCTACTTAAAATTAATGTACAATAAATATATATTTTACCGAATGCTTTGCTGAAATTTTTTATATAGACCATTATAATACTCATACGACGATATAGCGAGCCCATCATACACACACTCACAAAACATCCTGACCCCTTACCCCTACAGGCAATTGATCTATGGAAGCCCCTCTCATTAGTCGATCCTCCATCGTCGGCACTACAGAAGGATTGGGATAACCTCTAGTTGACAACTCCGTTGCATACCTTAAATCGAGGAATAGGAAAAAATAACTTGCAGTTCAACAGCTTTTAAGCGACTAAAAAAAATTATTTTAGAAATTTATACAAAAGTACAATAATTTTATCAAAATTCAATCTAGAAAATGTTAATTTACCTTATAAACTCTCATTTTTTGTTTCCTGCATCTATCTAATCCTTTGCTAAAGATCATGATTATATCGGGATCGAAGAACAGATGGACATAAACACCCAATAAAGGGTAACTAAATTTTATGGTCGCTACGATTAATAGTGCGCGCTTCGAGTTCAGAGATCTATTTTTTAGAGATGTTTGGGATCCAGCAGAGAAGAAATACGAGATGTAGGGTAGATTAAAACATATTATGGCGACGCATTGCGCTATTATCAATTTGTAAAATTTAAAGGAGGAGATTTTAGACCGGTTTCCATTTGTACCGATCCTTATTATAGATGTATCCGGGTTTTCTTGTGTTTTTGCCGTTTCTTTCCTTATACCTCGAGCTGATGTCGCAAGACCGTTACAGTTAGGTCGGATCCTTTTATTTCATTATGCAGAACCGCTACCACACCGATGTTGCCTGCAATGACAATAACTATCATCAATAAATACATAAAAAAACATTAAAATTATATCGTAGTTTTTCCTCCAATTCCTTATTGGCGAGAGATAATATATTCTTCTCTTGCATTCTATCAGACTTTAATAGAATCGTTTCGGTTTGCTAAACGTAATCGACTATCAAAATGGATGTAATCCCGACAGACTAAAAGTATCTTGGAGGTATCTGTATACGGTATAGCTATTAAAATGTTGCAAATGGTGAGAGCTATAGTAATAATCATCACGTGTTTAAAAGTAAAATATGTGTTATACAAGAATGGTTTGCATATAGCCATAGTTCTATCGATCACTTGAACGATTGTCATGTAATTGACGTTAAAAGAGCACATCTCGTCGATTGCCAATAAAAATTTTACCATATAAAATGTATTCGCGTGTTAATCCAAGATTTTTGAACTCCAAAACGGGCCAGAATATATAGTTGATGCATGACACCACGTCAAAAATCAAGACGTAGTACATGTAAATGTAATAATGGCTTTTCCGTTTCAATCTAAAACTGGTCACGAATTATATAAAGTTACCTAACCATCCCAATGTTAGGTTGAACGTAATCATGTCCCTGAAAATGTGCGCGTTATATCGTTCCTTAAAAAATCAGAGTATTCCGCGATTTGCGTATATAAGACGGTTAAATTGTCAGCATTTACTTGACTTAACATCTTAATTTATCAAGAAAATATAAAAATGAATAAAGTTATTATATATGTGTATGTGTTTGCCTCAACTGATGTATCGATTTAAAATCGAGTATAGAAATACTTTAAGTTGTAATTGTTTCATGATCCATGTAACTCCAACTGAGTTTTTATTTTATTTTATAAAATTAGAAAAGATAGTTAAAACGGCGATAAAGATCTCTTTATTTTATCTTTTATTTTTTAAATGTATTTTTTTTTGACAGATATAAAATATTTCATGTAGGGATAAAAGCTTTATCTTTAAAGCACACTTTTATAGCATCATGGATTATATTTAAAAAATATATATATAATACAAAATACGTCATTCTATAAATAAGTGGGAAATACAAGTTCCCCCTCTACCCCCCCCCTCCCCTAAAAACAAGTCATGATTTTATTTTAATATAATAATTTGTTTTTTATTTTGTTTTTTTTTAAATAAAAAAAACTTAAAATTCCGATATATTATATAAATTCTTCGAGAAGGAAATTTCATTTCGATTATTTTATTTTAACGGCGATACAATTTAAAATGGCGTAAAGTTTGAGAAGTAGAATATTTTAAATCTCAAAGTTTTTATAAGCTATTACCTTTTTTTTTAAAAAAAACGCCTTGCCGCTACTCTTCAAAAGAAATAGCCCGTTATCTCTAAAAGTTACCAAAAAATAATCGCGCGATACTTAAAAAAAATCCAACCTTTTTCTAACCGAACCCAAATCTTAATCTTCACCTTAAATTATTTTAGAATGCATTATATAATTTTAAATTTTAGACTTTGGGAGGACTCAACGACGAATTTATCTTTGCTCCCAGATTAGACAACTTGTTTGGAAGTTTCACAGCGTTCAAAGTATTAATTTTTTTTTAAAAAATGATTTTAAATGTATTTTTAAAGTAAAACACGTGATACGCTATAAAAACGTTTCGTCCTCTAGTTGCGGATTGCAACAGTCAAACGGGATGTTTAATATAAGGCGAAAAAATGAGGAGACTTTCCGGGTATTTGTACGCGCAATCGTACTAGGACTATTACTTAAACATCTGCTCTGATTAAAAAGAGAATACCGTCCTCACCCTTAAATTGCATATGTATTTTAATTACTTTATAAGGCAAGGTAGGACCCATTTTAATTTTAAATTACTTTTATATCCATCTTAAATTGGGTAAATACTGAGTGAACAACTTTAGTTATTATTCCACAAGAAAATTTTAAAACGTCTTCTAAAAGTATAAAATCAAGCCATGTTCGGGTCAATTTTTTTTTGATGATTTGATACTAGACGCGATCAGTTACGCTGTGTTTTTTAGTAAACGCGTTATGTTTAAGCGTTGCGTTATTTAACCCTATCAAAATCAAAGCTATATCTTGATAGCGATAATATTTAGATAATACATATCTTCTGCTTTATAACAAATATATTTAATAAAAATTATCTTCTGCTTTTAAATAAAAAATGTTAATAAAAACTTATAATGTTATTTCGCTAACTATTTTTATAATCTTATCGCATATTTTTTTTTGTCATAACGTTGCCCTGTATTCACATTAGCGCTGAAAAATATATGTTGCGACGATTTCAAAAATTATTAATGCTCATGATAAATCAGCTGTGATTTCGAGAGCTTTAAATAAAGCAACGCTTGAAAATGAGACCTTATGGCCCTTTACCTCTGACTAATTTTGAATAATAATTAATATGAGAATTACACCCACGCTCTTGAATATTCTAGAAGAAGAAAAATTCCTTTATCCCGATCACTAGTGTAAGATTAATATATTTATTTTTAAAGAAAAACTAAAATGGGAATAGGGGGGTATGTCGAGAATCAAATTAGACCTCTTTACCAAAAATTTTGGTTAATTTTTGATATATAATTTCCTTGAAACCTTATTTTTTTTTAAATTTTAAAAATACTTGAATTTTTAAAAAAATAAAGGGGTTTTTGGAATCTTTGAAAGGCTCTTCCTCACTGAAGCACGAAACCAATGTACGCGTCTTAGCGCTATTCGACCACGAAGAAGTTATAACCTTTCTCTTTCGTTGTGATTTAAATGTATAGTTATTAGTGAAGGTCAACGGTCCAGTCCTATCGATCTTAGACCGGGACCGGGCCGGATCGATTGTCTGACCGATCTTTTTGAGGACCGTGGTCCGGACCGGTCTTTTTATTTTTTACGGTCCGGACCTCATTATTTAAGTTTTACTGTTCAATTAATATAATTTTTTTGTATATCTTATTTTATGACATTTTTCTAGATTTCTCAAGAAACTGTCTGTTGTTCTAAAAGCTTGTAATTCTGATGCTTGATTTTGTATATTTGTACCATTTAATAATATTTTTACAATTGGATCTTTCGCAGTTTCATCTCTAAGTTCTTTTCTTGTTAATTAAGAACTTATTTTTCCCTGTGATTATAACATCATCTAAATAAACTGCTGTATCTTTACAATCAGCCAGTAAATCGTCCATATATCGTTGAAATATTATTGGTGCTGTAGCTATACCAAAAGGTAATCATAAATAGCGGTATTAATTCTTCAAACGTTGGTAAAATGTGATAGTTTTTTAGTAGAAATTTATTTAATCTTACTTTGAAATCTCCACATAATCGTAGTTCACCTGAAGTGCAACTTCTAGTTTTGGCCTCATTTTAATTTTTTGGTTGTTTATTAATACCTCAATTGTTGCATGTTGCCCATATTTGTATATTTTTCTTATTGAGACATCCGAATCGTCTTCTTTATTGTTGTAATTTCCGTAAATCTTTTCTTTAGTACAACATACGGCGAAGTGGTTTGGTTTCCTACATTTGCTGCACAATTTTCCGTAGGAGGGACAATTTTTAATAGCATGAAACCGATTACAGAAATAGCATGGTTTTCTCCAATTACCATTATTATTTGTATGGTAGTTATTATAGCCGGGCACTAGTTCTCTTTTTACATATGCTTTATTATCCTTTTGATAGTGCCTTTTATCATTATTATTATACTGCCGATTATTTTTATCATGTTGATTTATCCGATTATTATTATCATGTTTATTCGGCTCTTTGATTTTGTATACCATTTTAGCAGACCTCCTCTATATTCCTAGGATAGAGTATTTTTTGATATCTTATGTTTATTACTCCATAAGCTATAAATAATTTTTTTTAAAGTGGCGTCACTTTGAGGAATATTTTTCACATTTAGTATATATTTGATATAATCAACGTAGTCCTCGATGGAACAATCTTCTTTTTCAAAGTAGAATAATTTTATCCATAATTTCTAAATATATATATAATTTTTTTTACAAACAGAAATTTTTTTTTATAATTCTATATATTATTAAACTTGACCGAAAACCGCGCGACTTATATTTTTTTTTATTTCGTCGCCATTTTTTATAGTCAAAACAATAGATTCTTTATTATAAAATTGTTTCCTATATATAGTCTTTTATAATTATGTCATTTAACTTCTACTAATATGCAATTACATTGACCTCCATAATATAATATTAAATATAAGAAAGTTATAATAATATATAATTAAGTAACCTTTTAAAATATATATTAAACATTCAAATGTAACAATAGAAGATTATTTGATATATGTCCTATAAAAGTCACCAAGAACAATTTCTTATTTAGTATTTTTTTAAAAAAGGCGCAATAAAAAATATGCACTTCTTATTTTTTGGCATTATAAAAGGTAGGATCGAGGAGTAACCAAGGGGCGGGATCCTCCTTTACGAAGTCGGTACTGAGAAGATTGGCTACCTCGCCCTTATCTTCGCTGGGTGACGAAACAAATTCTGACGGGGGTTATGACGATGCCTTCGAACGGGCCATAGAGAAATCGTTTTTGATAAGCTCGGACCAAGCCCACGCTGTGCACCCTAACTACGTGTACATTTAAATAAAATAATTTGGAATGAGGGCTGAAATACTCTTAAAAATTTTTGTATGGCCCTTGTATGTAGTAAACGCCGATACCGCAATGTTGCTCATCAAAATGAAATGTTAAATTATACGGCTATGCTATCGTTTAACCATGAATTACGCTTCTCTTATCGCCATATTTCGCGCTTACTATAAAGAGGCCTTATTACGTATTACGACATAACCCAAACAGACGATTAATTTATTTAAAGGTGTACGTACATTGAAGTCAGCTGTAGTCGATTTTATTATTGGGTGTAATGTGCGTCATTGAATACTTCGTCTAAATGCCTGATTTTCGATGTACGTACACTTTTTAGATGTGTGAATCGATGTGCCTGATCCAAAACATTTTATGCGAATTAAAATTTCCAATTTTTCGATATTTTGCCCGACCTTTATAAAAAAAAAATGTCGGTTATATTGAGATTTTATCCATGAGTAAAGATATTTTAATACTTTAATACCTTTGCAATAAAAAATTAAGAGAGGCCCACGAATCTAATCATCAGGTGAAATTGGATGAAGGCTTGGTTATTAAATATGACGGTGACCAAAGATACTCTACTACAGCTTTGACGGCTTCTGTACTGAGACTCATAGCCCAGGCCAAAAATATACCGCTTCAAGTTAATGGGGAAAAAAATATAAATATGATAATTTACAAAAAGTGTATAATATAAATGGTTATTATAAATTGAAATAGTGTCCCGTAATCCGCTAAAAAAATCTTGGCCAAGAATAATTTGGATTAGCCTAAGAATCGGCTAAAACTAATTAGGCATCTATTACCTTGAATTCATAGTGGCGCGATTGCGATAACGATTTAACAGCTGATTGATTTTTAAAATCTGTTTATGAGATCAATTTTTATTTGTTAATATTAATTTTATCTTTAATTCAAATTTTAATAGTAATCTAAGAAATAATGATTTTAATAAAGAATAATTGATCTCATAAATATATTTTAAAAATCAATCAGCTGTTAAATCGCAATCGCGCCACTATGAATTCAAGGTTAAGGAGCTCGCCTAATAGTCCCTCAGCGTTACGTTAAAATAAGCCTAGCCTTAATGATTTATTTTGATTTGTTAATAATTATTTTATTTATTACGTAACCCTGACGGGCCGATTAGGCGACCTTCTTGACTGATACCTAATTTTTGACTAATTAGGTTTTAGCCGATAATTATGTTACCCTAAAAACGGCTGAGCCGTTTTAGTCGGCTAAAATCAGCTGATGGCGCAGCATTACTCTAAAGGATTAGAACCGCGAATCGATATGATACACGGCCACTTGTTTTTTTAGAATATTTATACTCAATTTAAAATAAATTTTGCCATTGTTCCTCAATCCTCCGCACACCTCAATAAAATGAAATCACTTATCATTTTTTCATCAAAGGAAAATTTTCTTTTTTTCCCAAATAGGCTTTCATAAATCGCAACGATGAAAGGGGCGGATCAACTATAGGTCCCATTCTATCTTCACTCTTAGGAGTTAGAACTATTGATGTCGGAGCCCCGCAATTATCGATGCACTCTATCCGAGAAACCTGCGCTACTGTTAGCGTCAGCCAAGCCATTAGACTTTACAAAGTTTTTTAAAAAAAATATATATATTTGGATTGTTAAAAACTACTTTTCAGTATTTGTATCGTAAAAATAAAATAATTGTTGGCGAAAATATCCTTCATCTTATAATGCAATTTATGAATAACTAGAGCTATAATCGTTACTTCACAAAATGTAACGCATTACTTGTTACGTAAAAAATTATTTAAATAATATATATTTAAAAAAATTTTTACAAAAAAAATTGTACACCTTTAATTTTTATCTATATAAGAATTTTCACAACATTATAATACATATAAAACTATGAAAAATATATATCTCCACGCATGCATGTATTGAGATTACATTTGGCCGACATATTTCTAATGAGATTTTTTTTTGTCGAATAATAGAAGATTTCCGCAGCTGTCCTAGTATTGTGGGAAATTTTCCTTCTATTACTCGCCTTTAATTTTTATCTGATATAAGAATTTTCACAACATTAAGAATAATACATATAAAACTATAAGAAAATTTATATCTAATTGGCATGCACGCGTGTATTGAGATTACATTTGACCGACATATTTCTAATCAGATTTTTTGTGGGATATTAAAGTTGCCCACAGCTATCCTAGTATTGTAGGAAATTTCCCTTCAAAGTATTTTTTTAGAAACTTAATGTGTCCCCTAATTTAATAAGAATGGCACTAATTGACATTGATAAATTTGAGAAAGGTGTATTTGACTATTTTATTAGATTTTTTTGCGGTTTCTGCAGAATGGTGATTATTATTATTAGATCTAGCTAATATAACGATACAGGAATAGTTCCTTGCAAGGGGCACACCCAGCTGCTGATGTAGATTTTAAAAAATTTTGATCAGATACACAAGAGCCGCTTATACTCAATACAGCTTTCACTGTGCTAAACTCATGTTGTGCAGAGGATGGGAGAGTTTGTATCATATTTAATAAATAATAATTTTAATTGGGGGAAATTTAAAAAAAATACATATTAGATCATCTTCTCAAGAATATTCCTTCAAATCCTCATCAAATTTTGTTTTTAGCTTTATCAGAATTAAATTCGAATTTATATTTTTGCTTTCATATGTTTTTTAGGTAAAAATTTGAATTAGGACACACTCTACACTTACAAAGTTTTCTTTATAAAAATATTTCACACTGGGACCAGGACAGAGTTAAATAATTTTCATCTGAAAAAATAAGTACTATCGATATTGACAAATATTTTATAAAGTAAATTATAAATATTAGAGAATATTAATTAACATTTGATTGATTCACTATTAATGAAATTAACAATCTTGACTATAACAAATATAATAAATTAAATAAAAATATATGAAGAAATTAAAAACTTGGCTTATATTATTTAAAAAAATATAATATATAATAAAATATATTTTATCCCATATTTTTTAATAAAAATATTTTAAAGTAACGTTTTACATTACTGTAACTCAAAAATCGTTACTTTTTGAAACAAGGAACGGATGACCTTCCTTTCCCTCAAAATGGATAATTCCATTAGTAAGGACGTTACTTTTCAGCACAATATTAAAAAAATGCTTCTTAATTAATAATTTGCCACAATGGGTAATACTTTTTCTTAAATGACGTAACAACGCCACCATTTTCCTATAATAATATAAAGGAATCAGAATTGAAAATTTTCCTTTCTTAGGCCACACTATATTCTAGAAAAATTCGGTTTTTTTTTATCAAAATAAATTTTTCCATGTAAGATTAAAGTTCTGAGGTTCGATTTAAATTTCCTAAATATTATAAGCGTTTATCTGAAGGAGTTCATAAGATTCTTTACGAGGTACGATTACATCTTTAAAAGCCGCCATTTTTAATTACAAATCATTTCATTGACATTGTAACATTTTTTGGTGGTAAGGCTAAAGTCGGCATTAATTACATTTTTTTTATATAAACACTTGTAAAAATTTAATATATTATATTTATATATGCTAGGAATTTTACGAGAATTATTCCAAACTGAATTTGTCCGAAATTCGCTGAGATGGAGTGTTTCGATTAACTTATCTCCGCTTCGATTTTTTTTTTAGAATTTTTTAATGCTTTTTAAAATAAAATTATATTTAATAATAAATATCAATTTTAAAGTCTACAAAAATATTATTTATTTTTTTAAAGATTATGTCAATAATTTTTTTTTAAAAAAGTAAAAATATTTTGATTCAATCATGCAAAATATCGATTTATAAAGAATTATTTAATAATTTAAGTTTTTAAAACAACGTTTTTACAATTTGTAACCTTTTTTTTAAAAAAAAATATTCAATACTGACTCCATTTTATAGGAGGTAATGTGTTAACATTAATTATGTACCTCATAACTTGTTTACTTTACGATATCTTCACATTGCAATTTTAAAAAAATTTTTACAATTATTTATTGGCATTATTAATATCATTAAATATTTATAATTTTTACCAATATATTTAAATATATTTATTTATATATGTTTAAATTTATAGCTATATATTTAACTTTAAAGAATTCATATTATAGATATTTAATTTTAAATAAATTATATTATTATTATTTATTAATAAATTATCAAAAATATAACTAAGACATGTTATTTAATGAAAAGAATCAATATGAATTCGCCTATTTTTAGGCATTGCATTACATAACCAAGATGCAATCGACATTTAATATTCGATGTCGTTCCATACATTCAATTTATTTATCCGATGCCCAAAAAATATTGTTGTTAAATCATCCTAATTTTGATATGAACCTCTAGATTAGCATCAGTTCTAAAGTTGGCTAAAATTGGTAACGGAAAATAATTCCTCGGAAAAAAAAATCCCCAATAATAATTCTTAGAAAAAAAATATTTCTCCGGAAATAATTTTCTCAAAATTTTAAACTAAATTATTTGAGGATTTTTATTCCATGGATATATTTATAGGGAATTTTTTTTTCTTCTATTTTATTAATTTTGCAATTTTTAATATCTTAAAAAAACGGGGATTTTTTTCGGGGAGATTATTTTCCAAGATTCGCTAGAATTAGCAGATTTAACACTATACCCAAAATATGATTAATTCTCATAAAAAAATCAGGCAAACATTTAGGCCATGAATTGATTATTAAATTTTGAAAAACGGCAAGATTTAAGTCTATTTTTTATAAACGGCTAAATCAATATTTTAGCAAGAAAAAATGTTGTCTAAACCTCACTTGCCCTATAGATGTCCAAGCCATTGTGCCACCTATGAGCAAAAAATTTTCAGGCTTGCCTTCATACTTTTCTGGGTAAAATATTAAAATAGCCGTTTTTTCAAAAAAATAGGATCAAATCTAGTCGTTTAACAACGCTACTGATGAGTATCGATATATATTTTAATTTAAATTTTTAATTGACATGCAACAAACTAAAAGGATTTATTTAAGGCTTAAACTGACAATAAGGAAGGAAATACTGTGTTTCCGAAAAAAAAAATAATTCCTATCAAAAGGAAAAGAGAATTCTAAAGCCTCGAGAAAATGACCGATCGAAAATGAAGTCAGCACGAAAATAAAAAATAGTAAGTTAGTATATTTTTTAAAAATAATATTTAAACGTCATTTCTGGTTATTTTTAATTTTATTTCTTTTTATTTATAACTTTTGTTATATCTCCCTTTTAATTTTTCCTTATTTATTTCTTTTTCTCATTATTAATTATCCTCCTTTTTTCATATTTTTAGCCCTTATAATCTTTAATTAAAGAAATAATAATTCCTATATTCTGCCGTTATCTTTCTTCAATCGATTTTATTATTACGAAATAAATGATGTATATTAAATGAAATATAATACATTATCTACTATTTTTTAACATATAAATATTAAAGTTGATATAAATATTGTTTAGTATATATTAATATTAAGGGTATCACAAACACATCGAACAATGACTATTACAAATAACATTTTTTTTTAAAATAAATAAGATTCCATATTTTTTTATTCTAGAATTCCTTGATCAACGTGTAAGTTCCTAACATGGCTAAAAGCCCACCAATGTACAGCGGGGAATGGAAGGAGATCAAAGACTGTGCACTTCCGGCAATAAAAGGTGATAAAACCCTCGACAAAGAGGATACACTTTGACCTATGCCTATAAGTTCTCCCATATCCATTTGCGAATCTTAATTTAAATAACATTAAATATATAATGGGATAAAAATCGGATGATTTTTGGACCAAAATATAACTCGTGAGTCAAAAAGTGGGAAAAAATAACGCGGTTGGGTGGGCAAAAGGCCCCCCCCCCCCCTCCGCATTTTAAAAACTGTCGTATCTCATTCAAATTTCTTATTTTCGACATCGTTAATCTTAAAAATTAATTATAAATTCAAAAGATTTAATATATTAAAATAAGAGATCTACGAGAATTTTCGTCAGAATGTCGAAAACGGAGATCTGCAGACCCGGGACCATAGAAATGGATCCAAAAAAATGATATGAATTTTTTTAAAAATATGAGCAGGGCCTAAACTGGTAAAAAGATTTAAAAAATCCGGCGGACCGGGTTTAAAATAATTATATCAATTTAATCAGTGAGTAAATCTTATCGGTGTTTACGGCTCGATTTGAGCACTCAATATTTTTGGCCAGAAATATGATGCCTAAGCCTTGAAATTCCACCAATAAATGTCCAAACATGTGTTCCATCTTTGAGCAAAATCTTTACCTCGAATTCATAGTGGCGCGATTGCGATCGCGATTTAACAGCTGATTGATTTTTAAAATCTGTTTATGAGATCAATTTTTATTTGTTAATATTAATTTTATCTTTAATTCAAATTTTAATAATGATCTAAGAAATAATGATTTTAATAAAGAATAATTGATCTCATAAACAGATTTTAAAAATCAATCAGCTGTTAAATCGCAATCGCGCCACTATGAATTCAAGGTTAGGCTTGATTAATATTTTTCGAGATAAAATATCGAGTTAGCCGTTATTACCAATCGACCCAAATCGAGCAGTTCAACAACATAAATCTTATAATTGAGCTTTCAAGATCCATTTACCGCCTCGTATTTTCAAAATTTTTCCAAAAAAAAAAGAGCGACAAATAATATTAATTTTTACCTCCAAAAAATGTTTATTTTCATAAATATTATTCAGTAAAATAAAATATTACATGAAACAAAACTTTTTAAAAACGCAGTTTATAAATCGGAATAAATTTTTAACGACAAGGTTAACAATTTTAAAAATAAAAAAACAAAAACTTACTCGAATTTTCTTTCGGACACTTTTTCTGGTGCTGATTCACGTATCTTATACTCATCTCGTCTAGCAGGGTACGGCACCAAGAATTGCACAAACTATTCGCCAATATGCCCGTAACGATGCACGCCTTCCAAATAAGCGGGTAATTGAATGATGACCATAAAAATTGGACGTATCCTAAGGGTATTTTTTCCGGTAAATCGAACGACGGGGCCAGAAACCAGAAAGAGGTATATAACATCGATATGGTGTAAGCCGAGGCGGTGATTTTGTAAATGGATTGGGTTGAGAATTTTATCGAATTTCGTCTAAATATATTTACGCCAATTTTATAAACAATTTTAAAATATGGAAAGTGAACACGTGTTGTTTAAAAAAGTCTGATTTGGCATCGATTTTTCAAAAGGGAGGCCGATTAAGATTTTAGCGGAAATAATATTATGTAAGTATTGAGATGTCTAAGCATTTCTGCTAGCTATGTGCAAAATCTTTAGGCTTACGTAAGGTTATTTTGGATATAATCATCGGGCCGTTATCAAGTGCAAATCAATTTTTTTTCGTAACGAAATTACTAATCATCTTTATAAAGAAATTCAGGATCCTGGAATGTAAACTTAGGGAAAGGGATTCCGGAAATGTGCTTGTATACAGTTCCGAAAAAATAAATTATGAAAAATTAGAAAATATTATTTTTGAAATATGACGGATCCTACATTGCACATTTATTTGGATCTGGTCAGTTATAATATTATAAAAAAAATAAATTACGCATTAAAACAGAGAGCGGGTCATTTCGACGCGACAAAAAAAATTGTCGCCCGTGGAATTGTCACGAGCCGAAATGACGTCTTATCTTATATTTAGAAAAAAAAATTGTCTTAATTTCTATATAGGCAATTATGTAGGTAGCCATTTTAAGTGATTTTCCACACTGATATTCAACCAAGATCACCCTCGCAAAATAATGATTAAAATGCCGTAAAAATTAATTTATAAAAAAATTGGAATAGAAAAAATTTATGGCCCGAAAACCGGAAATGCAAATTTTATATATATAATAAAATATATTAAAGAAGAATTAAAATATAAAAAGGATGCCATTTCATAAACCCTAAAACGAGATAATCACCCATGATCTGGCTCGTCAAAAGAACGGCCAGTAAGGAGGCTAGTGTGGAAAAGGCCGACGACGCGGAAAATATCAGACCTATCTCGAAGCGCGAAAAATCGGATATATCTAGTTGTCTGTACAAGTCGTGCCTAAAGACCAATACGGCTGACACGAGAGCTAAACGAACGGTCATGAGACTCCTGAAACTGGTATTGAAACTCAGGTTGGGTAACAGGTTTCGGTATATTTGGCTCGTTAACTTTATCAAGCTTTTAAATGTCTCCAGTAGGCTATAAAGATTGATGTGGAAGGAATGAATGGCAGGACTGAAAGAACTCACAGAGCCACTGTATAAATAAAGAGCTAATGCTATTTTTTTAAAATTATTTTAAATATAAAAAAGAAGAGAAGATTTATAAATAAATGATAATTATCGATACTGTTAACGTTACTTTAAAATAATAGCGCGCTATAGCTACAAATACTTTTCAAAAAAAAATAAGCCGCTATAGTTATTATATTTTAAATGTAAGTTACTTTAAAAAAATTGTGTCTTTTTTTCCTTACCTACAAAAACGAATTAATAAATATTGCAGCTAGAGATCTGCAAAGTTAGGCCCGGCCCGAACGGCCTAATTCTATTTAAACTAATCTTTCGGGCCGAGCCGAGCCTAATATTTTTTAAAAAATTCGGGCCTGGTCGGGTGGACCTTGGAAATTTTTTTAAAATATATTTTAAATTTATCAATTTTATATTGAATTTTTTATGTAAAATAAAAATATTTGATTTTATTTAGTGAAATTAAACGACATATAAAATATGTCTCTTATTTTGAGTAATTATAAAAATTAATTTCTTTATTTTACTAAAATTCATCTAAAAAAAATATGTGGCTTAACTTAAATTAGTTATATTATTATACAGTTTTAGCTAACTTAAATTAACAATATATTATAGTTAGACACGAATCTTAATAAACGTAATAATTTTAATATATTTTGTATTTGCTTTTAAAGAGAAGATGTCTCTCTCAAAGTTTTTACCCAGCAAAATAACATCTATATTTTTTTTCGCCAGAAACATCCTTTGAAATAGATAAAATAATCTCTTAAAAACATTGGCTCTGGAATGGGATATGGGGGTATTATATTTTCTGAGAGGGGTAGTTTAAAAAGGAAGGGCAACTTTTAATATTCAAAAAATTTGTTATATAATTCAATATTATTTTTACCACCTTCCATAAGATGGAAATGATTATTTAAAAAAATTTGAGAACATTTAAACGTTTTCTTTTTTGTTAGGTGATTTCTTTCTTTTTTTTAAAAAAAAAATGTTGAGTTTAGAAATATATATATGTTTCCGAGCTAATCTACTAGGTGTTAGGCAGTTAATCATTTTATTCTTTTTTTAAATAAGTTTTTTAAAAAAAATTTATCAAATTTTTCCATCCTTTAGGTATGTTTTAGGATACTTGGATTGAGGTAATAAAAGTAATTCTGTCAAGATTTGTGAGAACCCTACTTTTTAATGAAGAAGCCAATGCTTAAAAATTTTTTTTAATATATAGAAAGATATATACGATTGTATACATGGTTTAAATTAGAATGAAAAGACAGAAATTTTAAACATTTTATATATCTTACCTTAATATGCAAAAGTATGTCATTTTATATAACAAATGTCTATTATGGGGGCTGGAATATTTTTTTAAAAAAATAATATGTTTAAAACTTGAAATAAATCAAATTTAACTAATTAATTTAAGAAAAGGGCAAATGCGTATAGAAAATATCATTTTTTTAAATCTTGTTTTTATTTATAATATAAATGACTAAATAATATTTAATACATTTTTATTTGTGAATGTTATAATATAATTAAATATTAACATTTTTTTTTGTTCATAATCACATTTAAAATCAAGTTCTTTAATTTTTTTTCTTTTATTAATATTTAAAAATTGTGAGATGATTTAGTTATTGCTGTTTCATAGTAGACGTAAATAAAATTTAAGATGTGTTAGTCCTGAAAAGGATCGTTAAGCAGAACTGGAAAATTGTTAATTAATAGCATCTGAATAAAATTGGAAATAATTTCCTTTCCCACTTTTGTTCTCCCATATGGTTACATCACGAGATCCTCTAAACAATTTAATGTATATTTTCCCAACTTTGAGTAGTCCAAAAAACATATCTCTATGAAGAATTAGACGATCCATTTCAAAATCATCTCAATAGAATATTGAAACATGATTTCCATCACAAGTTTTTGAAAACGCAAATTCTCCATATTAATTTTAAAAAATGATCCATTACTGGTTTGTTTTTATCTAAAACTTCATAATAGATTTGTCTATATATATAATATTCATTAATTGGCCCAAAATATTTGATATGATAAATTCGAGCCTTCTTCCAATCTTAAAAGGCGTCAATGGGATCCTTTAAATTTAATTCCTTTGCCTTTAATTTAACTTCACTTCAAAACTATCATCTTGTTGCAATTGCATCTAAAATTTAATTTCTAATGAAAATTTTATGAGCATTTAATAATTCCTTCATATTGATTTTAGTGATATTATTTGATATACAACGATGATCCTAAAGAAGTTGAACCTCTCATTTTCATCTTGGATGGTAAGAAATATCTCGAACAAAGGATAACAAATATTTTATTTACACAATTCACGGAATTTTCGCAATAATATTAAATGAATCTTGGATCATAGATTGCTCTAAATTCTTCATTAAGAATAGCATTTGTAAATCAGATATCCTACCAATAACGTTACCATCATAACATTGGCCTTGCATTTTTTTAAGATTAAAGAATATCTATCTTTGATTAATTTATCAACCCCAATAAAATTTATCAATAGGGGCAAAAGCCCCTCTGCCCCTCCCATGAAGTTAGTGCCTATACCATGTACCTAGAATTGGCAATGCAATTTACGTTTTTTGCCAACACGCCATAACTTTGTCAAGATCTTGCTGGGGAGGGGAGGGGGTTTTATAGGTGGGGTTTTTCTCATACATTTTATTGGGGGTCTATGGTAGGGTTATGTTACATTTTTATAAATAATTTTGGCGTGTCATCACATTTTTTGGAAATTTTTAAAATCATTATTTTGAAAAATTATTTTCTTGTTTTTCTTTTGATAAATGTCTTGGTAAGATGGAGTATGGGCTGGATTTTATAAGCTTAATATGATATTTATGAGAACAGGCAAATATTTATAGGGGAGGGGTAAGCTATGCCCATAACCATGTTTCTCATCTAAACTCTTTCTCCCTTCTTTAAATGTAGATGGAATAACATATTGCATTGTAAAAATTAAATAATCTCATAAGAATTTACCACAATTGATAAAATATCCTGAACATGCAATGTATAGCACATAAATAAAGTCATTGTATAGCTGGTATATGTAACCAGCCAAAATAGGCCCTAACACAAATCCTAAATTAGATACTACATTTAGTGTTGCTAATTGATTCAATATTGAGGTGTTTTCAATCTTTTAACATAAATAAAATTATCATTTTTTAAAATAAATATTACTAAAACTATAAGATTTCATTAGTCAATATATTCATATTTAATTTAATAAATTCTATTTTTATCTGAATGTAAGTAAAATTGAAATGATATAGCAGTATTTATCTAGGCACAATAAAAAAGATTAAACTTTCACTTTATCATTATAAAGCTGTGGTTTTTGATTGATATCTTTTATATTTGTTGCTATAATTGACTTACACAAGCTTCTTGAATGTTTAAAAATACCTATATTTTAATATAAATAGTTTAAAGATCTAGTTATTTACCAGACAAAATTCTTGAAATTAAAATTATATAAAAGTTATTAAATGAAAGGCTCAACATCCAATAAGATATTCCTGCTCCAAATAGGCAAATGGATAAAATTAAGAGCCTTGGCATAATATCACTAAGCTTTCCCTAAATTTAATAAATCGGTCATTGTCATGTATCATTAGTTACACTTACAATTATAGGACTGCTAATCATTTGAAATATTCCATATATTGACCACAAAATTCCAATGTAAAAATTTGATATGCCGCATTTATAAAAATAGTTATTTAAAAGTGGAATTATTAAACTTATATTGAAATGATCCTATTAACATATTTCATTATATAGGTTTAATAATAAAAATATTTACTATAAATGCAAGCAAAAGCATACCTTCATACAGGTAAGATTTTGAAATAGACATGCTTTTAAAAAAACATATGATTTAATTAATAAATAATAGATGGCAGTATACGATAAAACATATAAAAACTCATTTCTTTTATTTTTTAAAAATTATATATATTTAAAATAAGTTGCAAACTATTTGTAAAATAAAATTGATATAAAAACTATATTAAATAAAATAATAATTATACATTTAATTAGGTATAATCAACGGGGATTATAGACTCATGTATGGACATGCAGTTAGAATGGCAGATTTCAGTTGATATTATCTGTCGAAGGTAGAAGCCTTCTTTTGGGTCATCTGTGATTAAGCATTGTTTTGAATAATTTTAGGGCTTGGGGTCCAAATGATCCACAGATATCTGAAACTACCGGAACAAACAAAACATTATTAAGCTTGCTATATTTGTTTGTTTTTGTGTTTTCGGCTTTCGTGATAGAGTTGGAAGAAAAAGATCGGGCAAAACGATCCACGCAAGTATAATCCCAAGCGAGAGGTAGACCTTGGTTCCAAGCGACTAGCGTCATACCATCTAGTCTGGTTTGATTGTCAGGGCTGAGGCCGGATGGTTCCAGGGTGGAGGGAATATTTGAGGATTTCAAGGTTCGGTTGATGATTAAATTGATACATTATTCAACTTTTCTTTATTAAATGAACGTTATTAATTAAATAATATGAAATGTAATTTTAATTTGTGAAATAATTTATTGCCAATGTGCTGTTATTTTATATCATATCATATTGTATTAAATTATTATTGGTATTTTAATAAATCTTATTTATTATCTCTTTTTCTTTTAAACTATAGTTTTCGCGGACATTCACATTGATGTTTTGGATGATGAAGCCAGTGGCGTCGCTATGGAGGTGGGGAGTGGGCGCCAAGGGGCTCGAGCCCCTGAAAAATTTGAATAGCCACCTGAGGTAAAATATTTTTTTAATGACTCCTTAATATCCCTTTGAACTAAAAATAAATTTTTTTAATGGCTCCCTGAACAATTTCTTTTATAATTCTATTGAATAATTTATAGATTTAATTTTATTATTTAAAAATTAATAAGACCATCAAAATTTTTATTAAATGAATACTATTTTAATTATTAAATTAGATTAATACATATATATTATATTTTCACTATGTCAGCTTGCGATCAAATTCTGTGTTAAAAATATATCAATATCACTCACTAAATATTAATTTAGCATTAACAGTTGAATCTTAATTGACTTTTATTATTTAAATTTTTATATAACCCTAATTAAATAAATATAATTATTAATTGAAAACTAAATATTTAATATTGTAATTAACCGAGTTTAAAATGACTAACTACTGTATATTTATTTCTAAATTTTATTATCATACCTATTCCTAAAAATATTTTCAAGATCCAAATAAGTATAAGAGATTTCTATATAAAAAGTAAGTAAGTAGACATATAGTTTATTATCCTATATTATATGCAGTTGTTTATAAAATATTAGTTAAAATGACACTTTTATTGACGTATTTGACAGTTATATAATATATTACAGCTAATATATTTTACCAATAAATGCTTTTAATACTAAATATAGTAACAATTTGTATACAAATAATTAACGCCATCTATTTAGTTATTAATAATTTTAAAAATTAAACATTTTATTATTCATCTTTCAATAAAGGTAATAAATTTTACGTGTTTTTAGGAAAGCTATTTTTTTTTATTTTTCGAAAAACAGTTTTGTGTTAAATTTAAAATACAAGTATATTTTTGATATTATTTCAAACTACTAATTTTAAGATATAATATACCAACTAGAGATGGTGCGACAATAATATATAAAATTTTAATTGCTTTGAAGATATCACTCTGTTCTTATTTTACAGTTACAAAATGTTTCATTTCTAATTGGTCATCCTTGCCGTATAAATAACTCAAGGCTTCAATATATTTGCATAATTTCTTCTATAGAATTTTATTGTTTTTGTTTCATTTCTAGCATAATAAATTCTGATATGGGTTACCATCGTGAGTGTCATGGCTATGACTGTAAATTAACCAGCATCTATTATTTGTGTGGCTATGTAATTTAAGAATATTACTACAGCTGCTCAGAGCATATGATTTCATATTTTAGATATGCAATAAAATATGAAATCATGGTAAACTGTGTAGTCGTTTGTATATCATTAAAAATGGAAGATAATCTTTTAGAAATTTAATATCTCACAATAATTTTCTCGATTACTTATCTAGCTTCCACCATGTTATCTAAGAGGAAGCTCTAACTACCATATAGTTTTATGATTGGATTGGTCGTTTATATTCTCTTCTTTCAAGAATTGTTAATTTGGTAAGGCCTATAAATTTTTTCTTATCAGTCCATTCTATAAAACATTCTAAAATGGTAACAGAAAGTTATATTAGTTTCATCGCCTTATGTCAATGTAAGTTGCTAAGAATTATATATATATACTATGTGGTTTTTAAAAACCATAATCAATTGAGGCATATGTATGAATTAATTTACATTTTTTATCACTTGTAATTCTTTAGACGCAAAGTTTTTTTATATCAACCATCGAAAATATTTTATACTGTAATAAATAGATTTTGTATTAAAAAATATTATTTTTAGAAATATCTTGTATTGTTTTAATTATTTATATGTTAGTTTATTTTGTATGCATAATATAATAAATGACAAAATATGAAATTCAGAATAATTGTTTAGGAAAAAGTATAATATATTAATATAAAACCCGACCGACGCCCAGGTAAAAACGGGCCGAAGGCTCGCAAAATAGTATGAAGGGCTTCGCCCCCCATAAAAATTTTTTAGTTGAGCCCCCTGAAATGGTAAAGGCTAGCGACTCCCCTGGATGAATCATTATATAATAGTCATGAAATATATAAAGATACACAATTTGAACACAATAAGTTAATTGGTAAAATAAAAATAAATCGAATGATTAAAAATGATAATCTAATGCAAAAATAACTTTTCTGATATACAAAATAAAAAATAATAATATTTGAAATATTTTTATTTAAATTGTTTTTGTAGGTAAAATAATAAACATCAATTTTAGAATGACTTCTTAAAGTAAAATGAAATATAAAAACTTATTTGTTGCAATGTTTAAAAAAATAGTTAATAATATTACACCACATTTTGTTATATAATCTGCAACAAGAAAATTATTTTAAAATATTTAAGTCATATTCAGCTAGTGTTGTTAAACGGCTCAATTTAGCTAATTTTAAAGAAGGTTAACTCAAGAATTTAGCCGTTAGTAAATTAATTAAGCTTATTTTTTGCCGGAAAATATACCATAAATATTTAGGTTTCTATTCGCGAAATTTCAAGGTTAGATAATAAAATTTTTTAAATCTTGATGTAGACTCTTTTACTAATTGGTCAAATGGAGCTAACAACACTACATAAGATTGCAAATATCTTTGAATATATTTTTTAAATAAGAAAGATTTTTGATCAAATTTTATATAGAAATTTTGAATATTTTTTGTAAAAGATCTTTTCATATAATAAGTAAATCTTTAATAATTCTTGTAAAAAATTATCTATGATAAAATAACAATATTCTTTGAACTCAACTCAATATAGTTTTAAATTTAACTAATTCGAACCTTTTGCAAATTAATTTTAAATTAAACCTTTGTCCCAAATCCACATTCGTAAATATTTCCGGAAAGATTTTGTAGCAAATACTATTCAGCGAAGATTATATTGCAAATTTTTATAGCAAAATCTTTACCGCGAACTCATGAGCGAATACATACAACGAAACTTTTATCGTGAATATATTATTATTAAAATTTTATCGTCTGTCATTATCGTGGAAGTTAGACAATACAATATAGAGAAAGCTAATTTTCGAATTATATATAGCGTATAAATTAACATAATCAATATTGGGAAATAGTGTTAAAACAATACCTCGATTTTATTCCCCCTTTTTAGCTATCACCATTTCTTATGGTAAGTTCCTTCAATCTCTTTCCACTTTATCATCCATACTCAGAGTCTACATGACAGGATTTTGACTGGATTCAAACCTCCTTCAAAAACCTTTGCCTACACCCCTAAAAATTCCCGTCGCCTTCGGCGGTGGTGTCTTTTTATTATTATTTTCACCTATTTATTAATTAATACTCTTTTTAAAGAATTTATAAAGGATAACTTAAATTAATCTATCTCTACTACCAACTATCGATATTTTATGAATATAAAGAATTTATTTTTAGATAATAAATTCAATTAAAACCTCCATTATTTACAATGAATTTATTATTCTGGCATTATGAGCTTGCTGAAATATCTAAACCTTTTAAATTACATTTAAAAGGATAGTTTATTTGGAAAACAATGTGTATGATTGTTTGCAATATATAGATTTGGTCGATGAATTGTATTATAATACTACTATAATAAAAATATTAATTTTTACAGCAATAAATTTTGTCCTAATTCATCTCAAAATTTAATAAATAACCCCCCCCCCCCCCAAAAAAAAAAAAAATTATCCTACCCCCATTAAAGCAGCTTACCCCATACCCCCTCAAAAAAATAGGATGCAAACTGTTCCTACCCCTCCCGCTCATGTAGACGCTGCCCGCACTATCTATTTTTATATTTCTGATCGATTCCATTTGGGTCTCCTAACGGAATATAGCTATCGAGGCCATTGTATCTTGGTCTTACACTGAAGTATCAATATCGACAGATATCTCACGTTTTCCTCACACCAAAGTATCAATATCGACAGATATCCCACCGGTGAACTATCGGAACGGCCCCCGAGGTCACAATCCTAACACTGGCCAAGAGATCGTTATCATCCTTGAATTACCCACGAGTTCATCTGGCCATCTTATTTGGTTTATTGGACAAATATCCTAGCACCCGGCTGTCCAAGCCTGTCGATGACCAGGGTGGCATTTCTCAGCACAGAAAATTTTCTTTACATATGTCTGGACATATCGGTCACCGAAGAAAAACCACAATTTTTGTTACTTACCAGGATTGAACCTGCGACCTTCTTACAAGCATACATCATACACCACTAAGCCACCGCGGCGATCTAAAGCAATACCGCGATAATGACTAGTAATAAATATTTTCTTTAAATTTTTGGCATTAAGAAAAATATATTTCTTGTTTCATATATTTTTTTCTAAGCGATTTATCTTTTAATCTGTGTATCCATTTGTTGGGCAATACTTATATTAGTATTAAGAAATATTTTGAAAATTCAGTATTTTGAATAATTATTCTCAAAGTTTAAGTATCTTTTTTAATATTTAAGTTTTGATTCTAAAGTATTAAATATGCCAATTATAAAATATGTGATTCGATAATCTGGTTTAATACATTTATAATTTAGCAGAGATAGCATAAAAGAATTGCCTAATTATGATCGTAAAATCATTTTATGTACATAAAAAATTTATAGAAAAGTATTTGATTATATAAAATATTGCATATTTTAAATGCGCGAATGTAGTCGAAGAAAACTACGGTGAAATTATTAAAATGCAACCTTGATCATATACACCAAAAATAGTAATTGACAAATGATTTATTTTAATTTCGGGGAAATATAATATATATCAATATAATTTATTTATTATAACTTATTTTATATAAATATACAGAACAACATTTTTTTAAGATAACAATAATATTTTAGTTTTGTAATTCGTTATTATTTAACAAAAAAATATAAATTGATAATAATTTATGGTACAATATTGCCTAATCTAGTTGCTCATTACACCAAATCTGTTTATTGGTGACAGGCTGAAATGTAATATTTTTCAGTTATATATTTTACTTTGTTAATGTTTTGTTAATTTCATAATTTAATTATTATTACCTTTTCTTTGTCTAAATAAAATTAAATTGAAGTAATTTTGTATTTGTTGTTAAATATTATTATTTGATAACTTGTGTCATAATATTACTGTAGTAATACCAACTACTAATTTATAAACAATATGACTACTAATTTATATTTCAATTTATTTTTAACATCAAATTTATATTATTAATTTTCGAATATTCTATTCTATTTTTATATATAATATCTATAAATAATATTTTACTAATTTATTACATTTCCTTCAAACATTTTAAATTTATATTTCTTCAATAAACCTCTAAACGATTTTTTAACTTATCTGCATGCTTCCGTAATGTTTTCCCGGAAGATTCAACAATATAAGAATAAAGTCCTATTCTTTCTTTAATTACTCCCCTTCCAACCATTGGTATTTTTATTATTTAACCATATAGGTTGTGAGATTTCAAATTCTCTTTCCTTTGAATGTAAATCATGATGAAGGCTTTGTTTATCAATGGCCCTTACTATTTCGTGTTCGGCATTTGGTCGGATCCAATCCAGACTTGTTTTCAATTGCCTCCCAAACATAATTTTAACAGGAGATCTCCCTGTGGAACTATGCTCTCCCAATCGGTAGGTTGTTAAAACCTGTGTCATAGCTTCTTCGGGATCGCTTATTGAATCTCTCGTCGCATGACCTTTTAAAGTTCGTACTGTACGTTCAGCTAATCCATTAGTTTTTGGATGATAGGGTGCTGAACGTATATGACGTATATTATTTAAATCACAATACCTACGGAATTCCCCTGATAAGAATTGTGGTCCTTTGTCTGACACACTGGACTTGGGTATTCCAAACCTAGCAAACCATTTATTTAGTCGTTTTATCATAGCATCAGCAGAGGTATTCTGCATTAGATCAACTTCTAACCATGGTCTATTTTTCTGGCATCCAGAACATATTTTGATAAAATTTTCTATATCAACATCACATCTGGGCCACCAACAATACAATCTAAAAATAGATTTCATTACATTTTCCCCAGGATGTCCCTAGTGAATCATTCCTAACACTGCATTTCTTAATTTATTAGGAATAACCAATCTCCCATTCCATTCTATAATATTACGATTGACAGAAAGCTCTTCCCGTCGATTATAAAAATTAACTATTTCTTTATCTTCATGGCGATCAAAGTTTCGCCAACTTTGCTGAATATGTATTTCTACTTTTTTTAATATTAAATCTTGCTTCGACTCTCTTCGTAGAATATTTTCTGACAATTGTATATCATCCAAATTAATACTTCGAATATCCAAAGCATGTTTAGAATCTTGATTCTCTTCCGAAATTTCTTGTTTTTTATTAATCAAATCTTGAATTCTAGAATCTAGTGTTATGCAACATTTTTCTTTTTCAATATTGTTGACCAAATTGCGTACTTGTTTAATCATAACCTGACGAGGCATTTCTAAATTGAATGCTATAATCCATGGTAATCCGAAAAGAGGCACCCCAGTTGTATTCATTATTACCACTGTTAGAGTCCTTGTCTGTGATCCAATCCTAACATTGACTTGGGTCTCGCCCTTAACGTCTAACGGATGATCACCATATGCAGTCAATGGACTGGTTGACCTAATTTTTGGTCGCCCAATACTTGTCCATATATCAATTCCTATCAATGACGCTTGTGAACCTGTGTCAAAATCAAATTCAACATCTAACCCATTTATCTCTGCAGTTAGTTTTGCTCGATTCTCTCGATTTTGTTGAATCTTCCAAATATTATGAATATAATCACTTGATGACACTCTTATATAATTTAAATTTTTGATTTACAGCAAACTGCAAAATGACCAATTTTTTTACATTTATTACATGCCGCATTTGTAGCTGGACATCTCACTTCTCGGTTATGAATAAAACCACATTTATAACATTTAAGTTTATTATAATCTTTATCATTATTATATTTGTATTTATTATTCTCTTTATCAAATGTATTATTATACTTGACTTTATTATAGCCTTTATCAAATGTAGTCGTCGTTTTAATTGGATGTTTATAATTATTATAATAATCATTATCATTTCTTTTGTTATTATCATTTATCTTATTAATAACAGGCATATTTTTATTTGCCATCTCTTTATCTGCTCGCTCAGAAGCTAATGCCAGATCAAGAATAAATTGAAAAGTCAGTACATTATTATCTCTATCAAGACCGTCGGGATATAGAGCTCTAAGATCTCTTTCCAATCCTGGTATTTCCATGCCAACCATAAACTGATCACGTAAACGCTCGTCTATATCATTAAGATAATGACAACGCTTGCCAATTGTTCTAATTTTATCTGCAAATTCAGTTATGGTTTCAGTTGTTCTCCGTAATCTAACGAAATCAAATCTAGAAGCAAAAGCTGTTGACGTCGGTTTAAATAGTTTAAAACATATTGACTTAATTTCCTTAAAAGATAAAGTTTCGATCGAATCAGGATAACAAAAACGGTCCACCAACTCAATATTCTTATTGCCAAAAAATGTTAAAAAAATATATATTGACATTCAGATAGGCTTACCATTTTTAACCGAAAACTGGCTTCCCATTGAGAAAAATATCTGTGGATTGAAGTGTCCAACTCGAATTTATCAAATTTAATCGTAGATAAATCCGCTATTTTTTTTGAATCTCCATTTAAGGAATTATTTTCTCCATTTAAGGAATTATTATCTCCATTTAAGGAATTATTTTATCCCATCCTCGTCGCCATTTGTAGTAATACCAATTACTAATTTATAAACAATACGACTACTAATTTATATTTCAATTTATTTTTAACATCAAATTTATAATATTAATTTTCGAATATTCTATTCTATTTTTATATATAATATCTATAAATAATACTTTACTAATTTATTACAATTACATTTAACATTCTTAAACGAGAGCCCTTGCCTTCTCTTCTCCAAATAACGTCTGACCTTATTTATGATAATATATAAAAAAATTTGACCAATCTAATCTAAATATTTTTTTAACTCTGAAATCATAGTCATCAATTTTTTTGATTGGACTGTTGGAATATACGATATTTAAATGAAAACAGAAATATAAGTGGTACATTTAAATCAATCTGATCAGGCATAGATAAAAATGTCATTAATTTCATATTCTCATCCAATTATCAACTAATGGATGCTGACTTATTTTCTATAAAAAAATTTGGAGGCCAATCTTGGTGAGCTAAAATAAGTTTTAGGGAAACCTGGTCCCTGCTTGGCTACGCAGCTACCTAATTTTTAAAAACCTTTAAAATATTTTAATTCAAAATTTAAAGTTGATAAATACAGGTCTAAAATAATTTTATCATTGTTTGATATAAATATAATAAACTATGAATAAATCGAATAAACTCTAATTGATATATAGAATTTTATTTTAGTTTTAAATCTACCTAACATTGTCAGTTCAATCTACCCAAAATGACTTTTTTTTATTTTGCAAATTGTATCGCATTAGCTTATGTTCCTTATTTTTTAACTTATAAAATATCTGGATTGTAAAGTTTTTTCTTATAGAATATATTTACATATTTAATTAGATCAGAATATCGCGGATTTTGGAAATGTATTCAAGCCGGGGTTGCATATATTCTCACACAATTAATAAAAATGTTAATAATTGCCACATTTCTCCCTTCAATTGAATATTCTACATCAAATAAAACGGAATTTGATATAAAACAAGTATTTCTATTAGATTATAGACAATTATATTCTGACAAAAACGAATTTAGGAAATAATCAAATGTAGCATTGATATAGCTGATTTTTTAGGTATGTACATGATAATGTCTAAGATAAGTATCAAGGGAGAATACAAGTTTTTATGTACTAGCATTGGATGGGCCCAAGCTGAATTGATAATGACAAGAGCTTTGCCCTTTTGGTTAGGTGCCAAAGGAATTGAATTTGACTGGAAATATATTCAAATGAGTCTAGAATCAAATATAAATTTAGTAAATTTATTTAAATCTTTATTAAAAAAATATTCTTTAAACATGAATTAATTATTTAAAGTGCCATATTATTTTGATATAAATTTGTAAATTTAATAAAGATAAATCTCTATGATTTTTTATTTAAAATTTTAATTTTTTTATACATTTTAGCTCCAAGCTATATCAATTGCTATGCTTATATGGTTAGCCATGCGAAACAAAGACCGTGTTGCAGTTCTATCAGTCATAGGTGCCCTCATAATGCTCAGCTGCTACAAGCAATTAATTGTGGAGTAAAGAATTAATTATTAATATATTTGACCATAACAATTATTAATTCATGCAAGATGAACTAAATACATATAATTAATATGAGCAATTTCATTGCAAAATTGTTTTTGAATCCCAATTTTTCTTTATAGATATCAAAGTGCAATCTTAAAAGAATTTTTTTTTATTTGTCTCAATAACAAGAAAAGCTTAACAAGTGCATAAAATGGGGGGGGGGAGGGGGCTCACAAATTTGACTGTTTTCATAAATATAATTTTTAACTAAATAAAAATTTTAACCCTCCCCCCTCTCGAGTGAAAATTTTGCAAATATTTGAATACCAATTTTCCAATTAGAAATAAATTTTATTGATAATAAAAAATATATCATAGGGATATACACATATTAGAAGAATTTTTACAGTTTGTCAGTGAGAGGGGAGACCCTCACACAAATTTACGTGCTTTACCTTTTATATGCAATGTCATGGATATTTTAACTTTTAATATAAAATAAATATATCTTTTTTAGCCATTAAATCCAAAATTTACCATTTTTTTTAAATATCCAAAGTGGTCAGGTGTTTTAAATCGAACTATATCAATGAATAAACCAGAAGCCCATCATCAAAAATTAAAAAAAATGTGCCCTACATGAGGAATTATATGTTATGATTTAGTGGCATATATTGGATTTTTCTATAGAGTGGGGGTGGAAATTTTTGGGGGCTTAACCCCAAACGCCCCATTAACTGGCCTCCTGCTAGCTTTTTCCCTGCCTTCAATAGAGTATTCAGCATAACCACTTATTACCATCTATACGACGGCTAATCTAAAATTTAAAATAAAAAGGAAAATTCATAATCAAGGGAAATATTTTTTTTATTATAAAGATTATTATAATAAAATTTTTGATAAGCTTGCTATAAATATACAAAAATTAAATCCTTGAAATAATTTATAAGGTATAAGTTAAGATATAAAAATCATCGATATAGATAATGCTGTATCTAGTTGGATGTCCAAAGGTCGATATTTAAACCAAATTTGGACTTCATGGGTGCAGCGTGACATGTATAAGTGGTAATAGGAAAAAAATCAGCAGAAAAAAACCTCACGGAAAAAAATTCAAAAAAAAGAAAATCGTTATTTTTTAAAAAAATTTTCTTGTCAATTTTTCTTAAATTGTTTTCTCAATTTATATTTTTCTTCCCATTTTTGCTTTAAGTCATTGTTAATCTTTATTTTTCTGATCTTTTCTCAATTTTTTTCTTCTCAATTTTTCTTATTTTTTTTAATGTAACCTAGCAATAATTAATGATAAATAATTTTATAAGCGAATGCCACAATCATCAACAGCTATTAAATTCTAAAAAAACACAAAATACTTATGGAAAAATATTCTAAGTAATAATGTCTAAATGTCAAGAACACAATTTATTTCCTGATCCATTATATATATACATGGATTTCTAAAAGTCTGCTATGAGCGCGGTTAAAACTGTCATTTTTCTAAAAGTCTGCTATGAGCACGGTTAAAACTGTCATTGGTATGATTATTAATATGTTAAATTATTAATATTTATTTTTTCAATTAAAGCATCACATCATAACCAGAGGATGCTTTTACCATTTGTGTCAAAGTACCCATAGAAAAATTCAAAAAGCTAGGTCTGGAAAGCCAATACAGAACTAGTGTTGTTAAACAGATCGATTAAACGGCTAACTCAATATTTTATCCAGAAAAATATTACTCAAGCCTGAAGATTTTGCTCATAGTCGGCACAAAGGTCTAGACATCTATTAGCGAAATCTGGAGCCTTAGACAATATTTCTTTGGCTAAAATATTAAGTTAGCCGTTTTTAAAAATCAGCTTAAAATGAGCCGTTTAACAACACTATACAGAACCGATGAAGCCCTAAGCTTCTTTTGTGGCATGATGGACGGCTTAGCATATGTTCCTTAATGTGATACAATGGTAAAGATATTTTTGAATATTTCTGATAAAAATTACATCAATGGAGTATCAAGATAGGTCACAAGAAGCAATTCTCAATCCCAGACACTTCAAATTGGGCCTCGATTTCCTCCAGAAACTTGAAACGTGAATGAGAGCACTCTATCCGACGAAGAACGCTCGTTTAATCAATGCGAAGGTTGGAATCATCGTTTTAATCTGGTTGGGAATAAACACCCATTAATCTGGGTTATTGATTAAAAAAATAAAATGCGAAGTGGCTGCCGATGTAACCAAACTTGAACGATGGCGTGTAGGTAGTTGGACACCGAAAACAAAATCGCAGTGCTTAAAAAAGAAAAAAAATGCTTCTGTTCAAATTGGTACTGGAAAAAAATATGAGTAATCTTTAAGTAATGAATTGGGGCCTAAAAAAATTTATTATTAAATTATATTTTTATAATATTTTTTTCTAAAATACTAATTTACTATACCTTATTAAATCCAAATGAAAATATTCCGATATTATTAGATCTTAAGTAAATTCGAAAACAAATTTTAGGGTTTTTATCCGGGATGTACGTTTTTTCAAGAGAGATTTATAAGAAAAATAGAAAGTGGCCGAATCTCACCTTGACTTCATCTACCCACCCAGAGATAAAAGCGCATATCTAGCAAACAGCTGACCGGAGACTAAAAAAATCATTGGGGACCATCCCATTTTACTCACATATCATTTGATAAAACACTGGATTTTGACTATCACATTCACATAGCAGATTTGTTAGCGGATAAAGCTATTATACCATCGAAAAGTGAGTGGATACACGAGTTTGATCACCAGGCTCATAGAAGCATGTATGGTTATTTTCCTGTAGGTCCCAAATATTCAAATCGAAGTGCTTTAATAAACTTTATCATTAGATATGAATTTTGCGCCAAGGTTATAATTGATATGATAGATAGTAACATAATACCAGACTCTCTTAAATTTCTAGTGGCTATCGTAAAAAACAACGAGTTAAAATTAGTAGGAAGGTTTTACGGGAAGATGACACCTGAAATGAGGATATATCAGGTGTGTACTGAAAAGAATCTAGCAGATTTTATATTACCGTATATCGCTGGGCAAACCATGACTATGTCAGAAGAAAAATTACAAGGTACAATCTGTCAGATGACAGCTCCTTATGATCATAACAGCATAAACAAACATTTTATCGTTAAAGATTTTTCATCATGGGGCACCAACTTTCGTTCGGAGTTTGTGACACCAACCTTTCTAGGACAGTCCTGCTTGCGCTGATATTGGCAGCTAAATTATCCATAAACATTTTTAAGTAGTCTATTTGAGTTATCTCTAATTCTAGGAGATCTTCGTGTCATCTGACAGATACCTTGAAATTTTTCTTCTGACATAGTCATGGTTTGCCCAGCGATATAAGGTAATATAAAATCTGCGAGATTCTTTTCAGTACACACTTGATAAATCCTCATTTCAGGTGTCATCTTCCCGTAAAACCTTCCTGCTAATTTTAAGTTATTGTTTTTACTATAGCCACTAGAAATATAAGAGAGTCTGGTATTATGTTACTATCTATCATATCAATTATAACCTTGGAGCAAAATTTATCTCTAATGATAAATTTTATTAAAGCACTTCGGTTTGAATATTTGGGACCTACAGGAAAATAACCGTACATGCTTCTATGACCTGGTGATCATATTCGTGTATCCACTCACTTTTAGATGGCATAATCACTTTATCCGCCAACAAATCTGCTATGTCAATATGATATTCGAAATCCAGTGTTTTATCAAATGGTATGTGAGTAAAATGGGATGGTCCCCAATGATTTTTTTTTAGTCTCCGGCCAGCTGTTTGCTGGATATGCGCTTTTTATCTCTGGGTAGATAGATAAAGTCAAGGTGAGTTTCGGCCAAAAACTCTCTTGAAAAAACGTACTTAAACATGTCACGAATTTCTGCACCCGTGAAGTCCAAATTTGGTTTAAATATCGCATTTTTGGATATCCAACTAGATACGGCATTATCCATATCGATGATTTTTATATTTTAACTTATACCTTACAAATTATTTCAAGGATTTAATTTTTGTATATTTATAGCAAGCTTATTAAAAATTTTATTATAATAATCTTTATAATAAAAAATATATTTTACCTTTGATTATGAATTTTCCTTTTTTTTAAAATGTATAGATGGTAATAAGTGGTTGTGCCGAATTAATTATTAGTGTCTTTTTTTCACGCACCACCTTTATTGTATTTATTGACCTTTTAATGTTATACTTAGACTTTTTATGTTATATTTAAACAATTATTTTATTTCTTACTTTTTCAAACTTAAAAATATTATTACAATTATCGCAATTATTAATATATGTTATATAATAATAATTTCTTTTTTCCCGATTAAACAACAAAAAAAAATACACATTTTAAATAATATATAAAAAAATGAACAATTACTTATAACAGATAAGAAGTTAAAATTATTTTCTAAAATTAGTATTTTCAATAAAAATTTTTTTATTCTACTTACATTATATTGTATGAAATGTTGCAATGCGCTATCAAAGATAGGCATAGATTTTTTTAAAAAATTTTTAAAATCTAGATTTTGTAAAAAATATCATGATTATTCTCTTATAAAAAATTTATTTAAAAATAACAAATAGAACATAATTTTTTTAAATTTGTATTATATTATTATTCTTTTTTTTGTAATGGTAAAATTATTTTTATGGTAAATGCTAAATATAGTTAAAAAAATAAATTTTTTAATTCCTTATTTTTTCTGGACTGTAAACTCGAACCGGGTTACCGGTGGTGTTGTTAAATGGCTCGTTTTGAGCCGGTTTTTAAAAACGGCCTACTCAATATTTTATCCAGGAAATATATTACGCAAGCCCGGAAATTTTGTTCATAGAAGGAAACATATGGCCTCCACATATATTATAAAAATCTCGAGGCTTAGACAATATTTTTCTGGCTAAAATATTGAGTTTCTAGAACCCTTTTTTAGAAGGAAGATTCACCCTGAATTTAACAAACTAATTTATTTATTTTTTTAGAATACTAAATAATTTCTCACTACATTGTGAGATTAGAATTATACGATTAACAATTATGTCAAAAAATTGAGATTAAGTATTAATATATATATATATATATTGTAATTCCTTTATATTAAAGGTTTATTGTGATCAAATTTAATTAAATATAATTATATTTAAAATATTGATTTTTTATTGGCTAAAATTATGTAGGCAGCATCTACATGACAGAAAATTTATTGAAGGCAAACCCACTCAGAAATCTACCTTTAACCCCCCCCCCCCCTATCAATTATGCTCTAACAACCCCACGATATTAATTTAAAAATATATTGTGAGCCACCATTTATAACCTCAAAACAAACTTTTTCAGATCTCGTGATTATTTTGACCAGGAATTACAATTAATCATCAGTTGGTGATAATCAACTAGTTTCTACTAAACTGTATTCAAAATTTTAGCTACGAGTGCGTATAACTTTAAACTCGAAATGTTATAATGTGAACGAATGAGAAATATATTTATTAATAAATTTAAATTTTTTTATCACTTATTATTATTATCTACAAATAGTGTTTATGATTATTATATCCTAAACACCATTTGGATCCCTGTCCCCTCCAAAAGAATTGGTGTCTAATCGCTCCTAACCCCCCCCCTCATGAAGACGGTGTATGTGGGTAAATAGTTACAAATGTAGTTCGATTAAGAAATTTTACTTTTATTTAAAAATGTAAAAATTCCTAAACAATTTTTAAATTTTCTAGAAAGCGTCGTGCAGCTAAAAGTAATGGATAACTTTTCAAACGAGAATAAATTACTTATTTGAAATAAAATTATTTATTTAAAAAAAATTATTTCCCATATATTCTAAATGAAAATTAGACTAAGAACCTAGTAAGCGTGATTTGACGTAAAGCAATTAAAAGAGTCTGGTCATAGATTTAAATCAAATGATGAGATGAGCTTTCGACTATAAATCTGAAAATTTTTTTAAAAAAAATTTATTTTCCCAGTGGATACTTTTATTTCTACATCAGAGTTTTAAAAACTTGCCCTATCTAGCGGAAATTTTATTTTTGTGCCAAAATGCGATTTTATTTAACAAATATTATATTATAGGATATAAATAAAAGGTAGATTGACTTATATCTTCAAAAATTTAATTTTTAAACTAATTATTAACGCCATCAGCGGTTTTTATATTTTTTGGATTTTTGCTACTTCTTCTTTTACGACTTTCAAAATTTTTATATGAACAGTTTTTGATACTCTTTACAAAATATCTGAAAATTAGAAAAAAAATTTATACTAACATTTAAAAAAATTTAGAAATTAAAAATTAATTCCATTTAAAATATGTGGATGTGGAAGAGTTTTCTTAGGTCTATAAAATGAGCCATGATAGATAAATATACTAATTTAATATTAAAGTTATCCCGATTTAAAAAAATCATTTTTTGAAAAATGACCTCGCAGAGTTACTTTGAGACCCTATATCTCCGGTTCTAGTAGAGTTAAGGGGCTAATATTTTGGATTCGTCGATTACAACACTTCATTAACTTATATACCAAATTTCAGCAAAATCTGATATGGTCGGGTGATTGATTTAAAATATGGAAAATAAATAATGGCGGGTAAAATGAAATCTTTTTGAAGAAAAAAGATACAGCCCATAGGATAAAATGGAAGATAGAGGGAAAATTTTTTTAAGCCTCTGTCAAAGTTTTTAAGCAATATATCAATGGGTTAGCCTGGTCTGGCCGAATATATTTACATATAGAATGATTTTTTTTCAATAGTTTTACATTGAATAAAATAAAGTTCTTAATCATTCTAAGACCCACCCAGTCCAACTTTAAGCCTGTTTGGGCCGGATCCGGATATATTTTTGCATTATTTCTAAAGTTTTAAGTATTTTAAAATGATTTTATTATATATATTTTTTTTAAAAAAATAAACATTTGTTACAGAATAATGCAAAGATATTTTCTCATGGATTCCTGGATGATTCTAGGCTCGAAAGCTTTGTACACTTCTCTCATTGCGCTGACCAGCTTTCAGCTATACGTTGGGTACTACTTATCTCGTCAATAATTCATTTATATTTTCGAAAGCATTTTTTTATTAATCTTTTTTTGTATATATTATTACAATTATATTTTTTTATATAGAATATATTTTAATGTATTTATATATTGTTAATAAATGTGCTCTAATATGTTGTAAAAAAATAAATATTTGCATTATTAATTATAATAAATTGAAAACTATCGCATTTTTTCTTTTTAATCGTATTTGCATTTCGGATTTTTATCACCCAACACTTCGTTTACTCGCGAGACACTCGGCCAGACTTTGAAATTCATTTCCTTATACATACAAAAATTTGAAATGATATTATTTTTATATATGTAAGTGTGTACATTGATACGCACTAATGACTGATTCGTGCTTTAAAAAAAAGAAGTGTACATACATGTCAGCTGTTATCGCCATTTTGTGGTTTGGCACGTCTATTAAATGACATTGATATAAATGATAAATAATCACAAAAATGGCTCTACAGCTGACTCCTATGTATGTGTACACTTTTAATCAATGAATCGCCAATCTAATAATTTATATACATCATTGGTAGTGTAAATAGTTTGCTAAAAAAAATAGCAATGATAATGCATTACCTTAAAAAAAATGTCTAATGATGTCTATAAAAAAAGGCTTTTAAATGTGAAATTCTGATCACTGTGTTTTTAAATGAAATGTTATATTAAATTTATATATGGCTGAATATATTATTTAAAAGTTGTGTTATGTGCTGTCATTAGTACTGAAGTTGTTTTCTTAAGCTTTCTGCAATTTAAATGACGTTAACTTTTGTCTTTTTACAAAATTTTAAGAAAAGAAAATGGCCTCCAGTTGATGTTGTTAGACGGCTAACCCAAGCCTGGAAATCCATCTATTAACGAAATGAAATCTCGAAGCTTGCGTAATTTATTTGGCTAAAATATTGAATTAACCGTTTTTTTAAAAAAAAATCGAGACGTTTAACAACACTTACCTCCAGGATATAGATTTACCCCTTTAATATTATAATTAATTTTTTAAATGATAAAAAAATTTTTTTAAATTAATACCATAGGAAAAGCAGCTTTTCTCCTGGAGTAAGGAAGCTTCCAATCATCGGATACCAACGTGTTTTGCGTATGAGGCGCATTCTTAAAAAAATTAAATTTTTACTTTTATTGTTTGCCGAATGAATCTCAAGGACTTAAAATATTTTCCACACAACCCATAAGACTTTTTTTTAAAGTATCCATATACAAATAACGTACCACTCGTTACTTATGAATTACCGGATCGATTCAATTTTGAACCGGTATCCAGCCAGGTCAAAATATTTATTAACTCTCTTATACTTATTTAATCTTTATTAATTAAAAAGAAAACGGGTTACAAAAAAAATAATACTAGAATTCTTTATATAAATATTTTTTTTATAGGTTTAGCATGATCTGATAGAAAATATTTGACACTTTTTGAAAGATTAAGAGTCCGATTCAAACTGTAATTTATCCGAAAAAGAAAATATTCGGGTTTCAAGGAAAACAAATATCAAAATTTTTTCGAAAATCCAAGTTCGGTCCAATAATTTTAAATCTACAGTTAGTCGGGTCTACGCCCGGTTGTTTGATTGGACAAACCCATGCAAGACTACAATTATATATTTTTATAAAAAAACGTTTGAAAGAATATTATATGTATTGTAATATTTACTTATATTATATGCCTAAATTCTTTACAAAATGGATAAAATAAATGATAAATTACCTTCAATGGATTGTTAAATTTGGTGTAAACTCCTTTAGCAATGTCATTGATTTCTTCCCTGATGGCTAAAAAGAAAAACATTAAGTAATTAATCGTTTCTTCGTAAATTCGTTAAACCTTTTTATTTTAAAAAAAGTAATAATGTATCTAAGAAAAGGATATGTGCCCTAATTATAGTTGGGTAATGGTTAAATGTCGGCTAATTCGGCTCAATCTTCAGGATCTAAAAAATATGTTAACACTATGGCATTTTAATTTATATTAGTTTATTCTCCTATCTTTTTAAGAAAAAAACTGTGAGAGCTAAGTGATAGTCTTTGGCTAAAAACTTGGTTTAGCTCACTAAAAATATAATAATTTTTCTGGCTAAAATATTGAGTTAACCGTTTTTAAAAATCAGCTCAAATCGAGCCTTGTTTATTGAATTGTTAAAAAGTAAGACCAAAAAACTGAACAAAAATCACACGGTATAAAGCACTGTCAAAGTTGGCATAAAAAAATTGACATTTCAATTTTAAACATAGATTTTTGGAGGATATCGCAATTAGCTTATAAAATATATTTTTTAAAAAATACTAGGGTTCATAACCCTGATCGTAAATGGTTAAATATATAGCTAATTCGGCTTAATCTATGGGCCGCGAATTATTTTATTTGCGCTTTCTAGAAAGTTTAGGGTGTATTTTCAATGAAAGGTGATTGTTTCCGGCTAAAAACTAGATCCAGCCGCCCATGTTTAATAAATATATATTTAAGGTAATATACATAAAATTTGTCCACCCATCATTGGTAATATTGAAAAATTTAGAACAGCTGTAACAAAATATGTTGTCATAAAACGTTCCATGTATAAAAATTTAATAAATTAACTTATCATAGCCTCGCAAAAGTTATCTAATTCGCGTTTATTTTCGCTTTCCGTCGGTTCTATCATGAGGCAAGTGGAAACCGGAAACGAAACTGTAGGGGCGTGGTAATTGAAGTCTTGTAGGCGTTTCGCGATATCCATGGGCTCGATACCATGACTTTGCTTCAGAGTCCTCAGGTCTAACAAAAACTCGTGACCGCACCTAACTAAAAAAAAATTAAACTTAGAATCAGATCGTATTTTTAGAAATTGGAATTATTACTCTAGACGCACTTTTTTAGAACTTGGTTGATTTTAAAAAATCATAAATTTTCGATCAAATTGTAAAAAATTCTGTTTTCCCCACTACAAATTATAAAACTGAAGTAAACTTTATCATCTAATCAGCTGAGATTACCCATAAAATATTTTAAAAATTTCTGTTTTATAGCTATATTATTATTATCCATTTATTTTAGTGTACCCAATCAATCAAGTTTTAAATATATAAAATTGGGGGATAGGTGATTATCACATTTAGGCAAAGGTAATTGTAACGAAATTATATTTTAAAAAATGGTTAGGGGGAGGGGGCAGGGAAATTTATTAAAATTTACAATCTTTGGCGTTGGCGTCGTTCCTATGGATATCGTAATGACCCTCGAGCCTTTTACATATATAGTTGGCATTCAAAATGGCGATTTGGGAGGCCAATTTGATCCCTTGGGGTCCCATCAGCTTGATGTACATCCAGGAGATCAACAACAAGATTGCAGATCCATATTGGGAAGCTGAAATGGCGCCAAATGATTTATCCGAAAGATTTTCGCGCTCCTGCAAGGTGGACCGAATGTTTAGGTTTGGAAGATACGGTGCTAATTTGGATTTCCTTTTGATATAATATTAAATTTTATTTTTATTTTTAAAAATAATCGAGTTTCCGGCGGAAACAATATTTTAAAAAAAGGTTCAGTTTCCGGCGGAAACAATATTTTTTTAAAAAATGTTTCAGTTTCCGGCGGAAACAATATTTTTTTAAAAAATGTTTCAGTTTCCGGCGGAAACAATATTTTTTTTTAAAAATGGTTCATTTTCCTAGTGAAACGATATTTTTGAAATAAATAAATTAGACGCGGTTTGAATTAAAAGACCACATAGATGGGTTTGGAAGGGGGGGGTGTTAATAAAACCCAAATTGCGGTTAAAGAGATGAGAATAATAAAATACAATCAAATTTATAAGAAAAAAAAATTAACACTGCTATAGGTCCCATGCCGGGACCGCCACCACCGTGGGGAATGCAAAACGTTTTATGGAGATTCAAATGACAAACATCCGCCCCAAAATCGCCAGGTCTACAAAGTCCTATCTGATTTAAATGTTTTTAATTATATTTATTTTTAAACGAATCATCTTATTTAAATGTTTAATAGCATCGAATTAACAAAGTGATATAATAGTGTTGTTAAATGGCTCGATTTGAGCCGATTTTTAGGCCATACTCAATATTTTTGCCAGAAAAATGTCGTCTAAGCCTCGAGCTTTCGCTACTAGATGTTCAAGCCTTTTATGCCATGGTTGGGCAAAAATTTTCAGGGTCGCATAATATTTATATTTCGGATAAAAATATTGAGTTAGCCCTCTCCCAAAATCCTACCTTCAGCCTCATAGTGGCGGGGGAGTAGCAACGTCTTTTGGCGGCTAATCGAGGTCTAAAAGGTTCCCTGTGGTCTGAGTTTAGAATAAGATCCTCGTTTCCTCGGCGGAGCGTAAAAACCACCTAAAGGGGGGTTAAATGTCAGGAAGGGCATCCGATTGTAAAAACATTGCTACAATAACAACGCTTCGGATATAAATAACACTCATTTACATCAAGCCTTCTAGTAGAACGTTTGTTTAGTATAAGAAAGAACTTATTTTTGGAGAAAAACAAGCAAGCCATAAAAATTACTAACTCAATATTTTAGCCTGAAAAAAAATGTCGAGATTTCGCTAATAGATGTCTAAACCTTTTTATGCCATCGTTAGGAAAAAATTTGCGGGGCCGCATGATATTTTATTTTCGGATAAAATATTGAGTTAGCCGTTTTTTAAAAGCCGGATCAAATCGAGCCGATTAACAAACGCTACGGATATAAATAAACAAACACTTTGATAATATATTTTGATATTATAAAACATATGATTTAATTACCTGGGCATTCATGTTAGCACCGTCCATATAAACTAAGCCTCCACTTTCGTGTATCTTGTCGCAAATTTTTCTCAAAATTTTTATTTTTTTTGGGGGGGGGGGATGAAAAAAAATAAAATAATTTATTATTGCTTCTTTAGCGGGGTAGGGTGGGATGGGGGGTAGGTGGAGATAATTTGAATATATTTTTAATATAAAAACTTAATATGTTTTTTTTTTATTCTAAACCGTTTAATTTTCGTTAGCCTTACCCTTGAATTTACGAGTTAGCACGAATTAATATGTGCTGTATTTTTTTTGTGTATTTTAATGTACTTCGTCGCAAACTCGCGCTAACTGTGAATGAGGGGGTTAATCTATTTTTGATAATCTGTCCTTAGGTCGCGATGGGTGCCGGTCTTTTTTACCCCGTTCATTGATTAAAAAATTTTTAAAAAAAAACCTTTTTGCTAATGGTTTATTATTTTTAAAAAAACATGTTTAGCCTCACCCGCCGAATGTTTAAACATTTTTTGATTGATTGATTTGGTAGTTTATTAATTTATTTTATTTTTTATTATACCAATACTTTTTAAACTTATTAAAAAAAATATGCAATATTATGTTTTTTCCAGAATTGTTCGTAGGACAGTTCCTATAAAAATGGATTGGGAATAACGAAATTTTTTTTAAAAAAATATACCTAATATTTGGATCAAAGCAGCCGTGAGTTGAGGGGTACGTTATCATGAGGCAGGCCAATTCTTTGCCATTTTCTTGAATCTTAAAAAAAAATGTTATAATTACCAAATTTACAAATAATCGTCCATTTTATTTTTGCGAAGTGTCTCGAAAAAAAATTCTCCGAAAGATTTTCCCCGCATGCTCTCAAAATTTTGAGCAGAAAAATCTTCAGAAGATCATGTTTTTAATGCACTGTCCAAAATATTAAAAGAATATATAAATTCACAAACTTTAAAAAACTTTAATTAAAATAAAATAAATAAGCTATTTTAATCGATATAAATGTAAACATGTCCTTTTTTAAAAAAAGAAATAAATATACGATTTTCATTAAAATATAAAATTTGCAAAAGTTTACAGGGTTTGGACATAGCCTTATAGTACGCACAAATTGAGCGTTTCAAACGCCGCTTTGCAAGCGCAAATAACGCATTTCAAATGTCCACCAATTGGTAAAAATTATGAGTTAGGCGTTAGCAAACTATTTAAAAAAACGCAAATAGGTTTTGTTTTCTCGTTACTTTTTCTTATTATTTCGCTTTGTAATATTATATAAATACCTTACTTATAATCCTAAAAAAAGGAATATTTAGAAAATTTGAAGAAATAAGAAGGCAGACGATAATATAATTTTGAAAGACAAATCCTTTTTTTTTGTAGAAACTTGTTTAAAATTTAAAAATCGACGGATATTAATAAAAAAGACAACCTCAGATTAAAGAAATAAGAACGCAGGCGATAATATAATTTTGAAAGACAAATCCTTTTTTTTTGAAGAAACTTGTTTAAAATTTTTAAAATGACGGATATTAATAAAATGACAACCTCAACGTTTATTTTTATTAAAAAATTACGGCAACACGTAAACGCTAAATTTGTGCGAACTATTAAAGAAGCATCAAGATTTTTAACAATCATGAAAGATTTTTTATGCATAAAAATTATAAAAGATTTCGATCCTCCATTGTTAAAACTTTGGAGATTAAAAATCTTTGAAATTTCTTTCGAAGAACCTTTAACATTTTTTTTAGGCTCGTGATCGGTTTGGCCAAAAAGGTTTCAACTTGGAAAGGAATAAATTATGCGACACGTTATCCGAGACCTGGGGGTTTGGGTCAGAGCCCTCTTAATTCCTGGAATTTAATTATAAATGGATAACCGAAATACGTAAATATTTTGACCAATAGGAACTTCCCCCCTTCCACGAAACGTCAATGACGCAATCCTGGGCTCGGGATGAATGATCCATTAGAATAATATATGTATATTTCAGAACAAAATATACCAAAAATCAGGGTCAATTTAAATAAAACCAGTTGAAAATCATATAATAAAAGAAAACATAAGATTTGTGTTCTCGTATATTTTTTAATTTCTCATTTCAGATTAATTTTATAAATTTTTTCAGCCCAAATTGGCTTAAAAAAACAAGGTATCGGGGAGTTGGCCAAAACATATTTTAAACTTAGACCCGGATTTTCCTAACATATGGATATTTAAAAATTTAAAATATTAATTGATTGATTGCTCTTCAATCCCAAAAGAATACTTTTCAAAATTAGAGAAATTTAAACGGAAGAAAAGAGAGACCAGAAAAAATTGAAGATTACATAACCTTATTTTAAGGTTGTGTCCTAAATAAATTCGTATACTTTCGAAACTTCAAAACGATTAAAAAAAAGAAGAATTCTTTTTTAATTATAAAAATAATAACATTATATTAAACATAATTTTAGGAATTTTATTTATAAATTATCAAGTTTTTCAAATATATGATTTTAAAAAATTTTAAAAGTTTTTTTCTTTTATCGCGAATTTTCAAACCAGATTCAGGAGACAACCTTAATAAAAAAAAATATATTATATATAATAAACCGTCAAATAAGTTAACACTAATTTTTCAAAAAGAAGAGTTAGTCTTCTTTGAATGAAACCGACCGGACCAAATACCCATTTTTAAGAACCGGAATGAATACCGATTTTTAAAAACCAAATCGAATTTAAAGGTCGGGCCGATAATCTTCCCATAAATATGTGCGTGTGGGTAGTTAAAAAGGGGAAGAATTTACTCACGCATTGTTCGAAATGTTCGTAGATGATGTAACCGTTTTTGTCGGTGTTCACAGGAACGATTCTCATTCCGGCTAAGGACGCGCTGGAAAAATTGGTGCCGTGAGACGAGTTAGGAATGAGACAAATCTAAAATGTCAGCCCAAACAAAATCAAAAAACAAAATGGTTGTGTAAAATCATATGTTAAATTTTTGTTATTAAAGTTCCAGAATCGTAAACAAAAATCTAACTTGGAATCCATTTTGTTATTAAAATATATCCTGTAACTGGAAACAAGTTCTAACAAGAAGGATTTGCTAATTTTTAGTATATTGGGTGCGCCATTTATTTATAGATGGTTTAATTAATTTGTTTAAGTTTTATTAAAATCGCTTATCGAAAGAGTACCGCTTCGTTGATTCTTTTTGGTAAAAAAAAACACTCTCGCGTAAAACGTTTTCCGTACACGCTAGGGAAATGAAAAAATGGGCGACTCACCGCGCGTTATTTTAAAATTGTTTTTTTTATTTAAAGGAAACATCATAAAAGTGGTTATTTTATAGTTAAAAACTTATAAATTAAAAAAAAATAAAGCTAACATTTCTATCAGCGTCGTTTCCGCCTGCTTCGTTTTTGAGGTAAGCGAGTATGGTACATAATCCAGAATATTCGCCTTGCGCTCCGCTTTTGATATATATACATTTTTTTCATTTATTATTGTATTCGTTTCATTCATTTAATTATTTTCTTTCTTTTCTTTTCTTTCCTCCTTTCTTTCTTTCTTCCATAATTCGAGTTTTTTTTTTACCTATTAGATTGGAAGGAAACCGCATCCATCCCGGTTATTTCGCATAAATCGAATTCTAGTTCTTTTATAATCTTGTCATAACCTATCGTCTGCTCCCTAGGGGCGTATGGGTGAATGTCCGCAAAATTGGGCCAAGATAAAGGCTTTTCATATTAAATGTATATTTTAAATTAAAATCAAATTTTTTTTAATAATGTAAAATTGATAAAAGTTATAAATTTTAAATTTAATAAACATATATAAAATATCTAGTCACGTGATAAAAATCCTTAAAAAAATATATAAGTTACGCGATTGTTACCATTAATTCTGTGGTGGCGTTCAGTTTCATGGTACAGGATCCCTAAAAAAAATTACATTTTTTGAATATTTAATTTTTAATTACATTTATTTATTTCCCTCTTTCTTTCTTTCTTTCTTTATTTCCCTCTTTCTTTCTTTCTTTCTTTCTTTCTTTCTTTCTTTATTTTAGTGTTGTTAAATGACTAGAATTATCCGATTTTTAAAATAAGGATTGATTTTATACAAAACTAATATTATGCAGATCTCAAGATTTCGTTAACAGATATCCGAAGCTTTCTGCTCATCTGTGAGCAAAATCTCCAGGCTTGCGTTGATATTATTGGCTAAAATGTTGGATTCACGAGCCGTTTAAGCAACACTAACTTTTTCTTTCTTCCCTTCTTTCATTACTTTCTTATATTTAAAAAGGCCTAAATTTGCCCACTTCCAATATGTCTTAGCTAAGCTTTTTTAGCCTATAAAATTGACTTGAATTTTCTAAGTTGAGACTGAGCTTAAAAGACTGAGTCTATTTATCTAGGCTAAAATTTTGGACTCTTTTTAAGAAATTACTTTTTTTTCACTTAATTTTTATAGTTAAAAAGGCCTCAATTTGACCAATATGTCTTAGCTAAGCTTCTTTAGCCTGTAGAATTGACTTAAGATTTCTAAGTTGAGACTGAGCTTAAAAGACTGAGTCATTTAGGCTAAAATGTTGGATTCATCCTTTTTTTAAATCGAGCCGTTTAATAACACTACTTTTTTTAAATTAATTTTTATAGTTAAAAAAGCCTAAATTTGTCCACTTCCAATATGTCTTAGCTAAGCTTTTTAGCCTATAGAATTGACTTAAATTTTCTAAGTTGAGATTGAGGATTGAGATTAAAGATTGAGTCAATTTATCTAATTTACCAAAGGAATCATGGAATTCGTGAGCGATAAGTCCTTGTTTTCGAGCCTTTTTAAATATCTCACAAATTCGGTTTCGGAATGATAGCTTGTCATAAAATAAAATAAAATAGTTTAAAATTTTTTTAAAAAAAAGAGGTGGAAAAACTTTTCAAATTAAATTGTTGTAATTAAATAAGTGTGGCGCTGTAAAGTATAAAAGTAACGTCAAAGAAAGTAAACGAGATTAGTAACGGCGTTAATTTTAAGAGTTACTTATTTAAAATATAAATTGTGATTCATATATATATATATAAATATTTATTTTTAAATTTAACAATGTCTTTTGAGTTCAAAACCAAAAATAATATTTTATTCAAAACTAACATTTTATGGGGGTTGGCATTAATTAATTATTGCGAAGAAACAATAGGAATTACTCAAAATCAGCTGATTATAACGCATTTTTTAAAAAAAATAAAATTGAGTACGAGTTATTGCTTAAAACAAATAAGAAATTACGCAAAATCAGCTGATTGTAACGCTTTAAGTAAAAATTGTTCTTTCTTTTTTATTTGTGTAAAAAAAATGGATAAGATATCTTTGATTATAAAATATTATGCAAATTAAATTGTAGATAAAAAAAATTAAATAAGTTTCAACATTATTATTATTTAAATAATTTATGTGATTTTAACCTCGCTATAAATATATAGATACAGAGGTAACCATTTGCACGACCGGGCCCGGGTTTTATATTTTCGGGTACGGCCCGGGTTTTATATTTTCGGGTACGGCCCGGATTTTACCCGGGTCGGGCGTATGGCTGGGCCTAGAGGTCTCTTATATATATATATACCGATAAATTCATAGATTATTCATATTTTAAAAGTCGATTTACTTATGATTTATGAGTTCAAATAAATACAAATGGACATTTTAGAAATCATAGTAAATTATGTTGGGAGAGGGGGGGGGGGGGTCAAGTTGAGCTAAGTTAGGAAATTATATTGTTACTCGTTAAAGACGGACTGGGCAAGGAAAGGTGTTGATCTGGGGTACAATAGACTATTTTGTGTTTCCAAGTCCGTTCCAATTTTATCCAACTTTTTATTTATATATTTTTTTTTGTAAATTTAGATTAAATTATAATAATAGAAATGTAGGCCCGAATTACCCCGGCTCTTTCAAAGCTTGCCGAATAGGGGCAGAACGAATTAAAGTTCCGCCCTAGATTCAAACCATATGATGTTTGAGTTTTTTAAAAAAAAGGAACGACAGTTATATTTAATTTAGATCAATAGCCACGTTTTGAAAATTGTAAAATTAAACGTCTAAAATGGCGACCTAACAAAAGAAGGCACGAAAATCTGGGGCTGAGGATTATTCGATTTCGCTCAGCCTTACGCCCGGAAGACGCTGATGGCAGTGTAATTTGCGAAAATAAAATATCGAAAACAAAATGGCTAACCCTAAAGATTTATTCGTCAAAATTCTGGCTAAATCCTCATTCATTTATAAGGATAAAAAAAAATGCTTGTAATTTTAACTTTTTATTATACTTTTCTTATTTCCTATAAGTATTAAAAAAGAAAAAGAAAAATAATAATATTTCAAATGAAGTAAAACTGGAATCGGCTTTTCGTCGAAAATTTTTAAAATATCCCGAACATCATCCGTTCCCGCTGTTTCGTCCAACGATATACCGACCTTTTCAATATAATTAATGTAATATAACAGATTATTAGAGTTTAATTTGAGTTCCAACAATTTTAATAAAAAGCGATTAAGCATTTTTTTCTAAGGCTATCATCATGTCAAGTCGATCGTGACTCTCAGTGATCCCTGAAACTCTGTATAATCTAGTATACACACTTAGACAGAACAAAAAAAAATATATATGCAAAAACGTTTCTAAATTTTACAGAATTATCGGCGAAATATCTGAGATTGATTTTAGCGTGAGCTGCTCTGGCCTTCACTAAATCCATTCCGATCTTGGGATAAATTTTGAGGGTATCGAAATACTTAGAATGCTTGACAGTGTGGCCAGCGCTGATAAGACCTTCAAAGTGGAAATCATTAATAATTCCACTAATGTATATTATATATATATATCATAAAACAGATTTCCATAGAATTATCACCAAATTTAGTGAAGACCAACTGGCTGCGTTGTTAAACGGTTGAAGCCCGAATAGATTGTTTTCATTCAAAAGCGAGGTTCCAATATGGCCGTACACCCCCCCCCCAAACTCAAGTGGTGCTTAGAGCACCACGTGTTTTTTTTAAAAAAAAGAAGAAAATCGATCCACCATTGTGTTGAAACATAAAATATCAAGGCATTTATTTTCCAACTCTTACAGTGTCTCAGAATATCCGCGTTTTGATGAACCGTGGCCGATATGCCCCTCAGATCATCAGGTCCATGGTATATGGCGTAAAGGGCTGTCATGTTGGCTAACAAAGCCTTCAATTCGTATGTAAAAGAAAGAAAATAAGAATAAATTTGATTCATACAATAACATAAATATGTATAACAAGTCGAATGAAAACCTTATATATATATCATGTTGTTAAACGCTACTTTTAAAAGTAGTGCGCTATCGTTACCGCTACTGCTATCGTTTTCAAATGAGTAGCGCGCTGATTTTTTTTAAAAATATTTTTTACGTAACTTTATTTCCACAAATAAAATATTGGTATAAAAACATGACTATAATTTGTTACATATATATGGTGAATTCCATATCAAATCAAGCAAGGTTTCAACCCGACCCCTTCAATTTTTCTTAAATTTTGTATACTGGTAGTATATACTATAACTAAGAAAAAATGAAATTTTACCTTCCATCACTGTTTACCCGCTAAGATATGGCCGTTTAAAGCGCGGAAAAAGGGTACATTTTTGACATAACGCACTTCATTTATTTTCAAATATCTCGAGAAATAATTAAGTTAGAAAAATAATTTAAATTTTATTTTGTAGCTTAATAAAAGTTCTTTCAAATGACATGAAAATAAATATAATAGACATTTGATTAATATTGGAAATCGAATGTGTAAAACCATCACACTGCTTTATATTTGTACAAAATCCTAGACTGGGATGAACATGGGTTTAGGAGTTATCACTCTTTATATTGCTAAAATTGAACAAATTTAACATTAATATCATCATATTTTAATTTAATGAATAGTTAGGAAATAATGTTAATTTAAAAATTATGTCTAAATGACAGGCCCTTACTTTTTTTTTTTATCTTTATCAAAATTTTTGAGAAGTGGCTGGAATAATGAGCTTTGTTTAACACTTTAGTTAAATTTTGTCTAGAAGTTACTTGACAAAATAATTCTAAACATATTTATAACTTTATTTGCCTCAAATTGCATTACATATAATACAATCAAAAATTTATAATTAAAATATATCATATATTAAAATCATCCAAGGAATTTTAATAACTTATGACTTTTGCTTTCGTCTAGGGGAATAAAAGCTTGGAACTTTGTGTTCCAGAAATTCTCTTTGCTCTCAAAAATCTGTTTTTAGACTTTCTATGTCCATATATTCATTATTACTCAGAAATATATAATTTATCCCATAGATATTATTTCTTGCATAGTTAAATAAATCTATTGTTGTCAATAAGTGATGTTCATATGGACGTTGCAAGCTTGCTCGAGCTGCTAACTGTTTAGTAACGGCCCCTAAAATGTCGCATGGACTTTTATTTTGTGCGGTTTCAAAAAATGTTCATCCCAGTCTAGGATTTTGTACAAATATAAAGCAGTGTGATATCTATCTACTTTCTGGTTTTACACATCCGGTTTTCGATAAATCAAATGTCTATCATATTTATTTTTATGTCATTTTAAAGAACTTTTATTAAGCTACAAAATAAAATTTAAATTATTATTCTAACATAATTATTTCTCGAGATATTTGAAAATAAATGAGGTGCAATTTGTCAAAAATGTACCATTTTTCCGCGCTTTAAACGGCCATATCTTAGCGGGTAAACAGTGTTGGAAGGTAAAATTTCATTTTTTCTTAGTTATAGTATAAACTACCAGTATACAAAATTTAAGAAAAATTGAAGTGGTTCGGGTTGAAAATCGACTTTTTTTTGTTGATTTCATATGGAATTCACCATATATATAATTTATTTATTATTGCACTTTAATAATAATAACATTTCGGTACTGTCACCCCCAACCCAAGTCTAGAACGACGATCAGAAAGTATAAGCTTTGCCATACTAAATAATCGTTCAGCACTAGCACTTGAGGGCAACGCAGTATTAAATTTAACAAACACACTTTTTATATGAAAAAAATCATCAAAAATATGTAAATGAGTATTTTTAGATTTAAAAAAAGCATCTAGAGGTTCAATAAATAATATTATTATTATTATTTATTTCAAAAAAATCGTCTATGGAAGGCCGCGGTTTCGATCTTGCTATAGTATTAGTATCGTGGTTAGGCATGACATTTTTTAACGTTACCATCAGCCTATCAAGTTGCCCTTTAGATTCAGTCAAATTAATGTATGGCCAATTTAACTGGAAACTAGGATGAACGATAGCAGCTATTACATTATCATCCTCATACAGATCTGGAAATCTAATTTATATAAAGTGATTGTATTTATTATAAAAAAAGAAGAATACCTTTTTAATTTTCAAAATTTAAATTTATCTGAGATTTAGATTCATTCATAAAAAAATATTAAAATAGCATTAAATTATGGTAAATAAAGATTTTAAAAATATAATTATTATACACAAGGTAATTAATATATTAATATTGAATTTTGTATTAATACTATATATTAATATTATAGAAAGGATAATCTATATTTTTCTCATTTTCCAAAGAAATTTCGCTATCTTCAACAATCTCACACATTTTTAATAACTAGATTTATAATGCTAACTAGATTTATAATATATATTTTTAAACATAAATTTAAATTTCAAAATTAAATAAAAGGATTATAGTTCTAGATTTAATAAAAAATATATTTTAATAATTTTTAGATGTATTTATTATGTAAAATTGGCTACTTCGCTACTTTCTAAATTAGTAGCGAGCTACAGCTATCGCTATTTTCTAAAAAAAAGTAGTCCGCTAAAGCTACCGCTACTGAAAAAAGCGCGCTATTTTAACAACACTGATATATATATACATATTTAACCCTTTTCTTAAGATTAAACATTTTATTTGGTTATATTTTGCAGGAGGATTGTTTAGCACTGCGTACTTATCTCAAACATGCTCACTCCCCGTTACTTTAGTCTTTCTTTCTTTATTCATAAATTTATTTTATATTTTTTTATAAAAAAAAGAAAAACTTGAGCAGTGCAGATATTACTGGTGGCCTTTTCCCTTTTAATGTGCTGTTCCCTGGTCTGTAGCATTAGTCTAAAAGCTCGATTTCCAGAAGAGTCTCTAAAAAAAATCGTAAATAAAAGGAAATGCTAATTTTGATATCTTATATCCAAAACGTTTATATGAGTATTTAATAATCAAGTGTTTCTAATCTGATTTTCAAAATCCCAACATTCCCTTTCAAAAGAGAAATGGTGAAATTTAACTTTGTCAATCCTACTATCCTTCCCGGCATGAGCCTCAGGTATGCTGATTTGGCGGCAAAAAACGCAGCATGAGGGCCCCCGAATGCCATGAAGGTTCCCAGTCTTTGGCAAGAACCGAAAGTGATATCGCAGTCAAAATGGGAAGGTGGAGCCAAGGAACAGAGTGATAAAAGATCGGTGGCAACAGAAACTACACACTTTTTTGTATATATATATAGAATGATTTTAATTATAAACATAGTATATGTATGGATGTAATAAACATTACTTTAAAAAGAAATAACGCGTTACAAGTTGGTTGATTTGTCAAAAAAAGTAACGCGACAAGTTATTCCGCGATTTACTAAAAAGTATCGCGTTACCTGCCCTAACTTGGTCTCCCAAATAACGTAGTCGTGAGTGGTGTTACTTTCTACAACGGTAATTTTACAGTTACTAAAATTCACCCAAATTATGGTATAATATTATCTTTTAAAAAGGAACTCAAGTCATCATAAAAAATTTATATTTTTAAAATTATGCGTCCTTATTTTGCCATTCCTTTTTCAAATTCCTCAGAGATTTAAGAAAAAATTTTCTTACGATAAACGGAAGTAAAAAAAAATATTTTCGCGAGGAACGGAAGTAAAAATAAAAAAACCCCATTTTTATGAGCGATTTCGGATAGTTCGGCCATGTTAGGAATGATTTCTCCCTCCGTGTTAGGGTATTGAAACATGATTCCGCTGACGGTTTCGTTCAAGCGCTTGGCGAGGTCCATGTTGTTTTCCACTTCCAATATTTCGATGTCTAAAAATCTTTAAGTTTTTATTGTTTAAAAAACTGATTATTAAATATATAATTTTACACATTTCCTTTATTTTTTTCTGGTATTTAATTTCATACTGGTGGAAATGTTAACAAAAACTTTATAATTAGTTATATCCAAACAATAACAACAAAAATTTAGAAGGGATCATTATCGTCAAATAAAACCGGTCTATGTTTTGGATCGGTTTTAGACGCTGTTCTATTCTAGCGATTCGCTGCGTTTTTAAATTTTTTAGAGCGGTTCTAACGTATCCTTATAATAATTTAACCTTAAGCTACGTTTGCAAAAAGTTCTAAAACTTTTGAAGTTTTAAAATTTTAATGAATTCGTGTGTGTTAAGTTTTAAAAATTTTCTAAAATTATATTTCTAGACATGTTTTTTATTTTTATATTTTTTTAAAAAGAAGATTATTTATTCTCTTTCGATAAGATTTCAGAAGTTTGCCAATCTAATTTTTCGATATTTTGGGGACACAGCCTTACAACAAGTCTATATCGACATTCCATTTCTCTGGTCTCCGAACCCTGAACCCAACCCCATCAGGGTTCAGAGATTTTCACCGAACCCAAACCCAATCATTTTGAGAGAGGGTTCATAGCCACTGAAAACGATTGGTTCAAAAACATGATTAGTCATAAGTTTGATCTCTTGGAAATATCAACACTGGGATTTGAATTTTAATAAATATTTTTTGTCGAAATAGTAAGAGATGAACGTGAAGTCCCAAATTTAAGGATTTGCCTAAAGCGCCAAGGTGGCTGAAAGTTCAAGATAGATTATTCTAAATTATATTTCAACATATATTTTATTTGTTGACATGGATTAAATTGGTAGCTAAAAAAAATTGATTTATATCAAAAGAAAAGTAAGATGTGCGCTTAGCAAAGTAAAATAAGATAAAATAAACAGACAATTCGGCATTGATGATTAAGATCAAAGGTCCACGTGTCTCCATTATCTCAAAAAAAATATTTATTTTTTCTTTTTCGAAATATATAGTTGTGATTTAAAGATGATAAATTTTGCTATTTAAATGAAGACCTTGAATTATTTGTTAACCAATTATATTTTATTTTTATAAAAAAAAAAATCATAAAATCAACCTTCAACTATTTCTAACTTAAAAAAAAAATTAGAATACAAATATTTGTTTTCTCATTTTATATTAAAAAATTGAGTAATTTAATAAATTAATTAAACTATGATTTTTTATTACTTGGCCCGCGTTTTAACGACTGCCAGAGTTTGGGGATGACATTTTGCGTAAATGACATATTTTTTCCTTTTATTTATTCTTTAAATAAAGGAAAGGTATAAGAAATTTATATATTATAAATTGATAAAAAAATAATATCATGAAATGAATTTATTATAAATAACAGGTTTAAAAATTATAACAAAACCTAAATTTTATCAATGAAATATAAAAATCAATTTCATGGATAATAATTTGTAATTTTTTAAAAAAAATTACAATTGTATAATAAATACCTATATGACATTGTTAGGGCTTCAGCCCCAGCTGATGCTTCATCTAAAAGGGAGGCATTAGCGATTGGCAAACCAGTCAGTTCACTGATCAAGGTTTGAAAATTAAACAGGCATTCCAATCTTCCTTGTGATATTTCAGATTGGTATGGAGTATAAGATGTGTACCTAATATTTATGATTTTTTTAAAAAAACTAAAATTTAAATCACACCACAATATAATATAAATAAAAGCATCTTATTAAGTTTAGCATTAAACAATAAAATAAAATAACAAATGTAATGTTGTTAAACAGCTCAATTTGAGTCAATTTTATAAATAGCTAACTCAGTATGTTACCCTGAAAAATATTGCCCAAGCCTCAAGATTTCACTAATAGATGTCCAAACCTTTTTGCAATCTAAGAGCAAAACCTTCAAGCTTGTTTAATATATTTCTGGATAAAATATAGAGTTGCCATTTTTAAAAATTGGCTCAAATGTAACTTAACAACTATAAACAAATGCACTATGGGAATAATTTATTCCAAAGTCTGACATAAAACTATCTAAATTTTTAGTTTTAAAATATTTTAAATAATAGAAGTCATAACCATCCTGGATTCTCAAAGACATTACGAACAATCGGAGCAGGTATCAGGCAATTGTAAAATCCAAGTCCTATATAATTTCTCCATATTTTATTCAAATTTCCAATCTCCAAACATTTTTTTAATATTTTATGTTCTCCTTTGTAAAATTTAAAATAATATGGTCAAAGGTATTTTTGTTTTACTTACCAATAGCATCAGATAAATTTAGATCTCTATTTAATTGTATATTTTTAGGAATTATTTGATCAATCAATTGGTTTAAATTCTACATGTTATGATTAAATATAAATGTTAACATCTCATTATTAAAATATAAAAAGTGGGATTTATAATAAAGGGAATGGAAAATTAATGATAAAATTATAAAGCCATACATTACTTTAATTCCTAGATAATTCAACATTACTGAAATCTCATTTTGGCTAGGGCCTATGTGTTTATTAACAAATTTTGAAATATTGAATTTTCCCATGTTCTTTCTTTTTGAAATCGGCGGGTGTAAACATATGTTTTTAATAGCAGCCTTATAATCCGCAGAAATAATTGAAAACATAAATTTTTAAAAATTGGTCTTACTCAAGATTTGTAAAAAAAATTTTAAGTATTTAATTAGCAACATATTATAAATTTTATTTATCTTATGATTAGTAGAATAATTCTCCTGAATTTTACTTATTTAAAATTAAAAATATACAGCATAAATTTTTTATGAAATTGGATAAAATAAACAGTACCGTCACTAGAGTGGGAAAATAGGGGCTTGGCTCTAAGGAGCCTCCTGAAAGTTTTTATATACCCTTAGAAAAGAAGCATTTTGAAAATATTAGTTTATAAAAAAAGGGTTATTTTGTAAAATAATTTTTCGCTTTTACACAATATTTATTCAAATTAATAGAAAAACTTAGTAAATAAAGTCAAAAATATTATAAAATTACAAAATAAGTTATAATTTTAAGATTATTGGGAAAAATATATAATATTAGTAAGTAAATCATAATTATATAAAGTTTTTAATTTTGCTGTCTTTTATTGACCGAGATCCAAGTTTCCTTTTAGCGTCAACGTTATTATTGGGTGCAAAATACCCTAATTCTATCTTATAAATAGGATATTCAATTAGGGGGTTTTCGTCATTGAGAATATAAAGATGTGATAGTAGCATTTTATTATGTTTAAGGGCTAACCTTTGACGTAGGTAGAATCCCTCATTGGGATCCTCGGTCCTAGCAGATATCCTTTTTCCCAGCCTTTAAAGAAGGCCAGGGTATGTGGGCCACACAAAGTTAGAGTCGTGGCGACTAATGGTAGGAATGTAAAGTTGGCAAGAATCGATGGCGAATATTTAGCTAGTTTATTCTTCTCGCTGTCTATTAGAGCATCTCTATTTATATTGGAAGGGGCAAGAAAATCGATGCATAAAAAATCCAGGTTAGGAATTCCCCCCTCTTTAAAGGAATCATACCATCAGGCCGCTTACAATATTATTATGAGAATCATATTGATGATAAACATAATGGTGAGAATCATAATTTATAAAGAGATAAATTGATGATAGACTTGATTAGGAGAATTATAATTCTTGGTGAAATAAAATTGATGATAGACTACTTATGAGAATCATAATTTATAAGGGTTAAAACGGTTAAGAGAATTTTCATGTGAATAGAATACAATGTATTGTAGATCATTAGAAGATTATGGAATATGTATATATTTTTATAATAACTTTTGTAGATGGCGTCATACTTCCGCTTAGGAATTAAGATTATAAAGATGGAAATTAGAGAGGTGAACGTATCAGTAGAATCTAACAGATAGATGGAAGCTGCGAGAACGGAAGCGCAATAAAGATATGGAGAACTCCTGCAGGAAATACCCAAAAGACAACGATTCGAACGAAGAATTGAACAACCATATTGGGTTAAGAAAAACCGTCTAGAATGTTGGTCGTGCGGAGAGATGCGCAAGTTGAGGTTCTGTCCAATAGCAGTAGAGACCTCAAGTAACAATACAGCTTTTTCGGTGCGGGAGAATGGGGAACCAACGAAAGATGCAGTGGAAGGTTAGTCTTGGGTGGTTGGTATTATATTCACGTAAATCATTTGAATAATATAAATTATATTTTTATATAATTAGTTAGTTGGTGAATATGCTATCGACGATTGTTAAGTATTAATTTGAATATGCAGTCTAGGAATTTTTTTTTTTATGAACTTTAATATACTTGTAATTTTTATTATTTTTTATGAATTTCTAATGTACTTGTAATTTTTTTTGCATATTTAAAAAAATGTATATAAATGAAAAAATTTTTAAAATAAAAGTTAGTTATCTGGTTTTATAATTTGAAGAAAATTAGTATTGTTGTAAAAAATTTAAGATATAAAATTTGGTTTAGTGAAAAACAGGAGTCGTAAGTTTTATTCACAGAATTATTTAATTTTTTATATATTCTTTTTTATTAATACTAGGTTCCATTAAGTTCATTAAAGTCTCTCCCACGAGCTCTTCGACAACTTGATTACAATTTAATAAGGAATTGTAACAAATATCATTGTATTATTACGATAAGCCTATAATAGAAGTATTGAATAATTTTTTTGCAGCACATCTAATAATTTAAGAGATAACTCTCCAATGAATAACAGTTATAATATTTTAAAAAAATTTAAAAAGCATTTTTATAATAAAAAAAGGTTAAACTCATCATTATTTTTATAAAAATCTAATATGGCCAAAGGCCTACAATAAATGGACTTAAAGAACTCCAATAAAATTTGCGGGGAAAACCGCCGGATAATAGTGCCCTCATAACAAAATCCTGGTTACGATATGAAGTTTAAAATGAAGCTTTATACATTTGAAGTACATATTTATCTTTTTGTATATTATTTTTCGCAGGGGTTCGAACCAACCCCGAACCCGGAAAAGAAAATCTAGGTTTTTGGGGAAAAAATTTGAACCCGAACCGAACATGAGAATTTTATTTGAGTCCGGGTTCAGTGCATTGTTTAAATTAATATAAGATATTTGTATAGTTGTAAATACAAATACAAATAATTTACTCGACATTTTAGAATATTTTTAGATTTTCATTTAGGTGAAGTGTTAATAAATTTTAAACGACTAAATTCATTTACGCCATTTTTTAAATTTTTTTTAAATTTATTCTCAAAGATTCCTATTAGATTGTTAATAAATTTTAAACAATTAAATTCATTTACGCCATTTATTTTTAATTTTTAACTTATTCTCAAAGATTATTCATTAGAGGAAAATGAAAGTGAACAAGTCAAAGTAAAAAATTATTATATTAGATATTGTTAATTTAAAAAAATATGTCTAAATAAAAAAATTATTAAATCTATACATGACTATGCTTTGTATTTTTAACTATATTTTGCCTATAAATAGAATAAAAAAATCTATTTTTTATACTAAATTTATGTCTAGTTTTTTTAATTATGATTTAAATATGGGATATTTTTTTTTATCAATTCAAAAATTCTTAAACCCGAACTAAACCCGGTACCAACCCCGGGTTCACAAATATTTCCCTAAACCGAACCCGAACCAACCTATTTTTTAACCTTAAACCGAACCCTGGAAAAATTTCGCCGTTCTCATCCCTCGTGTTACGGCTATATGTTAACATAAGGGGGAAATTTTTATATTAACTTTCTTTTGGTTAAATAATAATATATATGTTAGCGGCAATGTGTTTTTTTCCGGCAATGTGTTACCTTTTCAACTTTAAAACAATTTTTTAGCGCGTTTTTTTAAATTTAAAAATCTGATTTTACCGGAAATGAATTCCAGCATGTTTGCAATACCCATCTTATGAATTGTAGATAATTTTACCTTTAAATTTTGAGTTAATTATAATTTATATGAAAAATCTATGGAAGAAATAATATAAATTATATTAGGTTCAAAAGCTCATGATAAAATTATCTTAGGGTAGGTATTCCAATGATAGAATACATTTGCGGTAAAATCAGATTTTTAAATTTAAAAAAACGCGCTAAAAAATTTTTTTAAAGTTGAAAAAGTAACACATTGCCGCTAACGTATATAATATATATTAAATTGATTTAATATAATTTATTTTCTTGTTAAAAATAATATTCAAATGTTTTTCTTTTTTTATTGTATTTTTAGTAGTAATAGAAATCTTTCATTTTTTTTTATTAAGTATCCAAAATAATCATCATAATTTATTATTCAAATTCATATCAAATAAATATAATAAGAAAAATAAACATTTTACAAAAAATAACAAAAACAACAATTTAATACATATCATTTATCCTTAATCTATCTGGTGTTTCGATCGTATCCTTTTGGGATATCGATCTTGACTTGTATCTTCTTCCTCCCTCTCTTTTGATTCATTTCTTCGTTATTTTTTATTACATTCTCTTTGTTTACTATCTCTTCGGTTTTCTCTACTTCAGTTCTCTCTTCTAATTCGTATTCTTCAATCAATATATTTTCGGTTTTTCTTAATTGGTCAGTAGGACGTATAATCGTATTACCCGCTATACTTACTTCATAACGTTGTGATCCGAGTATGCCTTTAATAATGGCTTCTTCCCATTTTATTTCTTTATTATTGTAAAGGCGTGATCAAACTTTTTCATTTATCTGGAATTTTTGATTGTGATATTCTAACTTCTCCTTTTTGTTCCCCCGTTCGAATATTTGACAATCCTATATTCTTTAAATATAGGTAGTATTTCAGTGGGACTTTGTTCAGTTTCTGTCCCTGGTGTATTTCTGTAATTGTAGAGAAAAATAGCTAGACTGGTTTCTAAATCCCTCTCGTTTCTTTTATTCATACCCTGTTTAAAAGTTCGAACTAAACGTTCAGCCATGCCGTTTGTCTGAGTATAGTAAGGACTTCCATGCACTAATTGAATCCCGTTTTTTCACAAAAATTATTGAAATCTTTGCTGCTGAATTGGGGTCCGTAATCAGAAACGATTATCTCGGGAAATCCGAATCTTGCAAAAATATTTCTAAATATTTTTATTGTGCTTTCGGTTGTAGTGTTAATCATGGGAACTATTTCTGGCCAGCGACTGCTGGCATCTATCTCTACCAACCATAATGATTTTGAAATGGTTCAGCATAATTATTATGTACTCGGTGCCATGTTTTGGTGGTTTTGGCCAATTTTAAATTGCTGTCTTTTGAGGCATATCGTGTTGTTCCTGGCATTCTCTACGTTTTTCTACCCATGTTTTTATATCTTGATTTAAATTAGCCCACCACGCGTATTGTCATGCTCTCATCTTCATTTTTACCATTCCGATATGTCCTTGATGTATCATGTCAAACACGTTGTTTCGGTATTGTTGTGGTATTATCATTTTAGTTCTCCATAATAAACAACCTCTCTCTGTTCTCTCCTTTGGCTATACTCCTTTAAACATGCATCATAGTTTATTGGCCATCAATCTATTGTATATCTGTATACTTTAGAAATTATATCATCTCGCATTGTTTCTCTTTCAATTTCACTTGCATTTAAAGGTGCTTCTCCCACCTGTATTTGATATAGCGTTTCTTCTTTTGAAATTGGAGTTCCCTTTATAGGTAATCTAGATAGCATGTCAGCATTTGCTATTTGTTTACTACTTTTGACTTCTATTTCATATTGGTAACCTGCTAATAATAAAGCACATCTCTGTATTCTGGCAGTAGATGTTATTGGTATATCTTTTCTTGGATAAAATAAACTCATTAATGGCTTGTGGTCTGTTTGTAATGTGAACTTTTTTCCATATATAAATTCTTTGAATTTTGTAACCCCAATTATGATGGCAAGAGCTTCTCTTTCTATTTGGCTATAATTTTTTCAGCTGCATTTAGCGTTCTTGAGGCGAATAAAATTGGTCTCTCCTTACCCCCTTCTATATGTGATATTACTGCCCCAATTCCTATGGCTGATGCATTTGTTGCTAATATAATGGGTAATTTTGGATCATGATGTTGTAATATTGAAGTACTACTAATTTCTTGCTTTTTTTTTATACGCGTCTTTGCATTCATTAGTCCATCTCCAAACAACTGCCTTTTATAATAATTTGTATAATGGTTTGGCTCTGACTGCTAAGTTTGAAATAAATTTTGAATAGTATGTTACTGACCCTAGAAATGACTGTAATTGTTTCAAATTCGTTGGTTCTGGTGCTTTTTTAACTGCCTCAGTATTTTTTCGGTAGTTGTGATTCCGTTTATATTAAATGTTGTTGTCCAATTTACATTTTCCTATTTATAGCTTGATTCCATTTTTGTCTAGACATTTACGTACCTTATTTAAATTTGTTTCGTGTTTCTCTCTATTTTTCCCGGTTATTATAATATCATCTAAATAACAAGCTACTCCTTCAAAACCTTATAATAAATTCTCGATGGCTCGTTGAAATATTGCTGGAGAAGACATTATAAAAGGTAGTCTTGTATATTTAAATAATCCTTTATGCGTATTGATTACAAGATATTTTTGAGACTCTTCCCCACTTTAATTTGAAAATAGGCATCTGAGAGATCTGAAAATTCCTCTCCTTTTCCCTAATTGGCTAATAAATCTTGGATTCTTGGTATTGGATATGAATCAATTAATATTTTGATTTATAGTTCTTTTAAAATCCCCGTAAATTCTTAATGTTTTATCTTTCTTTTGAACAATTACTATGGGTGATGCATAAAGTGAATGATTAATTTTCTCTATTACTCCTATTTTTTTGCAATCTATCTAAATCTTCTTCAACTTTATCTTTTAGAGCGTATGGTACGGGACGTGATTTACAGAAAATTGGTTTCTCATTTTTCATATATATTTGTGCCTTAAAATCTTTCAAGCAGCCTAATTCTTCGGTAAATAATTGAGGAGATTCATTTTGTATATTAATATTATTTATTTGTATGGTCCTTTCAGGTAATTCAGTCATTTTGGGAAATTTTCCAATAAGATTTTTGTATATCCTTTTGTAATTATGAGAGGTAGTTCTAATGTTCGCCCTTTATATTGTACTTTTACTACAGTCTGACCTAATAGTTGTATATCGATTCCTGTATAGTTTTTAAGTTTTAGCAAGCAATTTGTTATTTCAGGTCGATTAAATTTATTTTTCCAATCTATTTCGTTAATTATGCTTACCCCAGCTCCAGTATCTAATTCCATTCTGATATCACTGTTGTTAATTTTGACATCCACCCAAAATTCTGGATTATATTCGTTTGTTTTATTATTAATAAAATTCACAATTTTTTTTCTACAGACTGGATCAATGTGCCCAATTTTGTTGTATAACACGTGACATTCTTGAAAAGACAATTTTCCCTTCTATGGTTTCCGTCACAGGTGTTTCATGGATTTGGTTTTTTGTAGCTCGCATTATTATATGATTTTGATTGTTTGTCATTATCATTATTAACTTTTTTAATTTTATTTACATTATCATTATGTTCCTCTTCTATATGATCGATTTTAGTTTCATCATTTTGTATTAATTTTTTATTTTTTATTGCTGTCTCTACTGCAGTAGCTATCTGAATAGCTTTATTTATGTCTATATCGTCTTCGGATAGTAATCTTTGTAAAAATTTTGGATATTTTATTCCGAATATAAATTTATCTCTTAATGCAGTATGTAAATATTCCCCAAAATCACAAGTCGTTGCTAATTTCCGTACATTTTATATATAGTCTATTAGTTTTTCATCATTTTGTTGATTATATTGATAAAAATTATATCTCACTACTAATATATTAGGTTTGAGATGAAAATGTTTGATTAAAATATTATGTATTTCTAATACCTCTTTGTTTCCCGGAGTATCAGGTGCACATAAATTTACCAGTATTTTGCAAGTATAACACTTTATTGTTGTTAATAACAGAGATTTTTCTTGTGATGATGTTAAACTTGGTTGTGTGCTTATAAATTCTTAAAATAAGTTGTACCAATCTTTGTAACACAGGTTTGAAACCGTTAGACTTTTTATAGATTGCGACATTTTTGTAATGTATTTTTAGTAGTAATAGAATTCTTTCATTTTTTTATTTAATATCCAAAATAATCATCATAATTTATTATTCAAATTCATATCAAATTATATAATAATAAAATTAAACATTTTACAAAAAATAACACTAAGAACAATTTAATACATTACATATCATATACAATTAACTTTTACCAAAAAAAAATATATTGATAAATTGTGAAAATAATAATTATTTTATTACTTAAATAAATAACTTTAATTCTTGTCTAACTCGATCCTTAAAATTCCTTCAAGGTTAAATAACATAATAACTTTGACTAAAACCTATCTATCACATATTAAATATAAAATTTTTCCGAATTACATGCTAAATATATTTATTATTTTTATATGTACTTCAAATTAATAAAATTTTTTAAAAAATATAACTATTATATAAAAAATATTTTTAAATATAAGATAATTCTCTTAAAAATGATTTTTAGGCAATATTTTCAGGCTAGATTATTTAATTAACCGTTTTTAAAAATTGGCTAAAAACGCGGTGTTTAAGAACACTAGAGATGCTGAGATTAAATGTATATTTTAAAGATTCCAAAACAAAATATTTAGACTTTAACTAACAAAAACCAATATGAATGATCATTCTTCTCTTACTCTTCTCCTCAGTGAAAGACTACTCGAGCAAATTTTAGATTTTGATCATTCAATACATTATTTGAGTATTAAAATAAGTATATGTATATATATATAGATAACTTACTAATAGAGTGAAACTCGTTGACAAAATATTTCCCTCTTTTTTTATATGGAATCAATCAATTTTTATATCATATTCATTTTTATAATAAATATGTTAATGTCTGCAATTTCTTAATAGCATGCATATATAGTATTTATAGTATTTGGTGATTCTACATAAATCGAATATTTATATATAGTAGGGGAGACCGGGGATCTGATGAGTACGAGATTCTTGCGAACTTTGGGATTTTTTTTAGAGTAATTGGTTAATTTTTTAACCCAATGCATATAGCCTCAATATTCATAAGCGACTATAATTCTTTTAATAACGGATCACATATAAAAATTTTAATAACATAATATATAATTTATCCCCTCAAGAGTTACTTTTTTAAATGCACTGCAATTTATCAAAAAAAATAATAAAAATTTCAGTTATCCAACAATTCTCTTATATAAATGATTAAACCCTGCATAAAATTATTCCTTATTTGAACAAAAGATATGATTAAACTATCATATAATTAAATTTTAAAGCTATTGATAGTGGCTGGGGCTATTATACTTAGAGGTTCATACGAGGTTTTTGAGTCATTAGTTATTTTTATTATTGAAATTTAAGTATGGTAATTATAATTCGAGAAAAAAAGAAACAATTAACAAATGATAAAATCATGTATATATTTAATGAATATCCATCCTTGCTAGTCGCTATGGTGAAACACATTTAGGTTATGCAACAGTAAAAAGATATAAATCAAGATTAATTGAACACAAGATTTTAAATTATTTACATCAAGTCATCAAGAAATCCATTATCTAATAAATGAATCTAAAATGTTTGTGGTTTATCCCATTTGAAATCTTTTTTGGGGCACTTGGATCTTATGCATTTTTAATCCATTCTATTTGTTTAAATTGTCAATAAATTTCACTAATTTTTTATATTTATTTATTTATTATGGCATATTTTTACAAAAAAGTATTGCAATATATATTGTTTCAATATTTAAAAATGATCAATATTATGCAGTTCAATAGCGGGGAAAGCTTTCCCGGCAGTAGCTCATACTTTCCCGAATTTTTTTTCGGAAAAATTAATACTGATAAGAAACTATATTTTTTACAAAATTATTTTTATTTATAGCATAAAAGTAAATAAGTGGAATAAAATGAGATATTATTTATTTAATATTATCAAGTTGTTTATTTTTATTGAGGTTTATCTTTAGGGCTCGCATGTTCCCCGGCCTAACTTGTATATCATTTGGTTGCATATAAAATTTTAGGGAATTGATACATGTGTAGCTTTTTATGCACATAATTTCCTTTTTTTTTAAGGAATATATTGAAAGGAACATTTTTTGTGATTAGTTATTTATAATTATATATAAAATAACTTGTATGATTATTCTGCAAATATTTTCTTTATATTAAAATAATTTTATAATCATATTTTCAGTTTATATAATTATTGCCTTTATACAATAAATAATGTATTGGGGAACATTTTTTTAATATCATTTAAGGTAAAAATGTACAATGAAGATAGGTACAAATTATATTCTATGATTACTTTAAATAATTTTCGATATGAATATAATTAACTTATGATAAATTTTTTATAGATATAATATTTTGGAATCAAATTGACAATATGCTTTTAATTTAAAACATGTTTTATTGTTTCCACACCAAGAATTGAGCTTGACATCCATTAAAGACCCATAAATTCGAGGTTTGTCTTCCATATGTTTTCCCTTCGACACATACATCTTTTGAAATTTCTGAATACAGAGAAATTTTGACCACAGATCCAGTAAGGGGACATATTTGTAGCTGATCATTGCCAGAACTGGAGCAAGTCACTAACTCGTAACTAGTAGGAATTGGATCAGGATTAAAACCGATTCCATTGTACCACAATACATCATTCGGTTGAGAGGGCCATGTTGAAGATTTTTTATAACTATTTTTCGAATAATAATCTGTGGTTATATCATTGCCTGTTTGGATATATGTATCTGTATTATACGTATCGTTAACATGTAAGTGATTTGGGGAAGAGTCATCATTTTTATCTTTCCAGCTAATTTCGTATTGAAAATGACTAAAGGATGGGTTGTAAAGCGGCATTATACCTAAAGTCTTAACCTTGAATCTGGCAGTGCAACCTTGAAAGACCCACACCTTGCTACCTATCATACCATATGTAGAGTCCATTTTACAAGGAAAGATTGATAATTGTTTTTCGACTAGTAAATCAACTACAGGTATACCTAAATCGCATTCCTTGTGAGTGAAATCATAGCTAGCACAAATGATCGAAATTTCACCATGCTGGGCCAAGTTGCCTAGATCATAGTATTTGTAAAAATTAATTTTTCATTTCAAAAAAAAATATTAGAGCATTTATAAAAAATTATAAATATTAAAAGCGAGAAAATCTTAATTTTTTAGGGTTAATATTTTTTGCCTTCTTTAATAAAGATTTTTATAAAATTATTTGATGAGCAGCAAAAATGGCAATTTTTAAAAATATTTGGTTTGTTGAACTTTTTTGAAGTTTTTATTTATCTTTTATATCCGTTTTATGGTTAAAAATTTTTTTTAAAATATTAATTGTTGAAATTAAAAAAAAATATTTATGTAATTCAGTTCATGTTACCTAAATTTCCTTACCTATTTCATGTATATTAAAGAAGCCTTGATTCTCTTTGTAACGAGTTCGTATTTTAATTTATTGTTTTTTGGCACTTATAAAAAAAAAATGGTAATCAAAGATATTTTATCAAATTTGCTTCATAGCATATCACCAACTTTTTATATTATTTTCACGTTACTTTATGCCAAATTAGCACTACAAATTAACATAATTAAGATTCAACCACTTTTATAATAAATGCGACAAAACAAAAATAGTCTTGCTTGAGCATCTTTTCATGCATTCAATCTCAGATTTGAATTTGTTACCATTCCCATTATCACCGGTATAAATAAATTGTTGACACCTTTTGGTTGCTGGATTGTAAAAGTATCGGATGTGAATTGAACTTCCGTTACCAGGGTCGGGAGGTAATGTGCAGACACTTTCTTATATTAGGCATTTTAATGATGTAATTTTATTACAAATATTATATAATAGAGCATACACCAACTCTTTCGGCAGTTTATATTTATATTTAGCAAGAGATTGATATTTTATTGAGAGATTTGCAGAAGAAAAACGAGCTAGAGAAATATTGTAAAATTAAAGCTTATAATTTTTATGTACCTTATTAATATCAGTTAGAAAAGGCTAATAATATATAGTATATGTATATAACTCTATAATAATTTAAATAAAAATGTCTGATAAGGTAGCATTACAAGATCATCTCAGTCACCTACGCAGGAATACGCTAAGGGGGGGGGGATAACTAAATTAAAAAGGGAAATTTTTCTAGAAATTATTTATAAATATATTCAGAAATCAATTAGGCCTAGTGATTTTAAATTATTGACAATTTCTTATACACAAATTCAATTATAAATTAAATGAAAATATTAATTTTATAATAATTAAAAATAAATTTAAAAATTTTTTTTTAAGAATTTGATTTTTCTTAAAAAAAAATTGGGAATATAGTAATACACAGAAATATTTTTGAGAATTAGTGCACATAGATAAACTTACTGTGTTGTATTAATATAATTAAGATATATATTATAAATTTATAAAGTAAAATTTAATCTTCTTTGTGATTGTCAATGATTTTAACAGTGATTGGGGTCAAGTCATTGTGTATATTAAGAATAGCTAACGCCCACTCAATCTATTTTCAGACTTAGTACTTTTCGTCTCTCTCTCTCTCACTCTCACATATTTTGTTATAAAGATAAAATGTTCTTCATTGAAGTACTAATGGGTAAACTTGCCAAAATATATAATTTTATGTATAGTAGGAAAATAGTCTAAAATGTGTTTGAAATTATGCGAAGCATCTATAAAATGTTTTGAGATATTATCAACCATTTTTAACGTTTTATACCATAGTTTGTATAACTAGTAATAAAAAATGGGATACTTTAATATCCTCAACAATAAAAATCTGTCAAATATTTAATTTTTTATCTTCAAGATTTGAAATAGATTAGGAAAGATTCTGCGATAATAATGTTTGCGAATTTGATGTGCTGCCTGATTAATTAAAACCTTTTATTCATTTCAGTTATAAAAGGTATAACGTCAATTCGGTGCGGAATATTCGACGCGGTGACAATTCGGCTCGGCGACAATTCAGCGCGTATATATTACAGTTGCAATTTAATATTACTTAGTATAAAAAAATAAGGATGATTAAATAGAAATCATTTTGAATGTTGGTCCTATTAATCATTTCTTCATATTTATTTTTACAAAAATCTCAATTTATTTACTAAATGTGTAATATCCAAAAAAAATTAACAACCAATATTTATACCTATTTCTTTGGGTCACCAATTTACCACATAAGGTATGTTGATTAGTAGTCAATGTTATGTGAGCCGAGATTTTGGGCATAGAAGAAAGAAAGAAAAGGAAAGGTTTGGACCTATATCTCGAATCTTACATATTATTTTGGTTAGAATTTAAATCGATCGTTTTTAAAAATAGACCCAGCCATGATCCAAATAAAATCAAATTTAGACTGACTTTAAAAATCCTTAAATTCTATTAATCCTTTTAAAAAAAATATATTATGCTTAGGCTAATTTTTTAAATTATATAAATCAAAAATTAAATGTGTAATTTCAAAAAAAATTAATAACCAATGTTTATACCTATTTCTTTGGTTGACCAATTTGCCACATAAGGTATGTGGATTAGTAGCCAATGTTATGTGAGCCGAGATTTTGGGCATATTACTTATCAGGGGTAAGATTTAACATTATAGTACTTATCGGGGGGTATTTTAGGTCTATTTTTAAAAACGGTTGATTAAGATTGTAGCCAAAATAATAAATAAGATTAGAGATAGAGGTCAAATCTTTCTTTTTCTTTCTTCCTTCTATGCGCAAAATATCCAGGCTTACATAATATTGGCTACTAATCATCATACCTTATAATGTGGTAAATCGGTCCATTAAAGTAATAGGTATAGTTAATTTGTCTCGATATTACACATTTAGTAAATAAAATTGAGATTTTTGAAAAAAATAAATGTGAAGAAATAATTAACAATACCAAAATTCAAAATGACTTCTATTTAATCATCCTTATATTTTTATACTAAGTAATTTATAATAAATTGCAACTGTAATAGATACGCGCCGAATTGACGCTTCGCCGAATTGCCGCCGTGCCGAATTGTAGCGCGCCGAATTGACGTGGAACCGTTATAAAAATTTCCAAAAGGAAGATAGAGATTTATATAGTATCTTGCCATGCTGCGAATCTAAGTAAACAAATATTAAATTCAAAGAGCTCTACCTTTGACTCAACAATGACGTATAATTTATGCAATTCATCCATCATCTACATTTTCCCTAATTTCCTTAAGAATCCTTTTCAGCCATCTCATCGTCTCAATCAAATAAATCGATTTCATTTTTGAAGTATTTCACTTTAGTTTTGCAGTAAAATTAATTATAAATAGTTTAGTAGGATTATAATCAATAATAATTGATAGAACACATCAGTAGCTTATTTATTTCCTGCTGTGAATGTGGTAAATAATGAGGTAGAAACAGAAATAATATTTTTAAAAATTTTAACCGACATCTAAATTTTTTGACTTTAGAGGGGAGGAGGTGAGGGGTGGGGGGGATTTTCCCCCTACCCCAACCGAACTCTACGTGCCTTTCACATCTTATAATTTATTGTGAGATGAAATATGTTATTAATCGTCATATAAAAATATTCTATTAATAAAATTAAGGAGAATTGGATATGTCAAAAATCCTTAATAAATGTAAAATTTCAATAAAGAAAGATGATTAGTTTATATTAATTTATATTATTATAAAAGAGTTATTTGAAAATAGAAACTTTTTTGTTAAATTTTAATATATATATATAAATATAATTAAATTATAAAATGTTTAAATTTATCTACCTAAAACGTCACAAAGTGAGGCACATTCTTCGAGCGTTGAAAATCTATTGGCATTTCCAGAGCAACCAGAATATATAAAACCTTCGCATCTTGAAGTTATGGGACTAAAAAAATATTTGGTCTCATAGTGGGAACAATTACCAATTTCCACGGGCAAAAGGCATGGAAAGAAAGAGTCTTTATATTTATAAATTTATTATAATCTAAACCGGTCATCATTTCATTTTTTCCTTCCTTCCTTCCTTCCTTCCTTCCTTCCTTCCTTCCTTCCTTCCTTCCTTCCTTCCTTCCTTCCTTCCTTCCTTCCTTCCTCTAACCATAACCTGTTCGACAAGTCCTCTCACAGTGATCATTGTATAAAAAGTTGTTGGCATTCCCGTTGCAACCGGTATAGTAAAACCCTAAACATTTTCCTTTAGAACTATCGAAAAAATAACGAGTTAAGTTTTGAATACAGTTCCCTATCGATAATGGCAGATTACAAATGTATGGCAGCTTGGCTTAGATATTAAAAGAAATTCAAATATAATGTATTGCATATTTTAATTAGCTTTTGTAAAATTAAAAATATTGAATTATTTAATGCTTATATCCAGTAGGGTCATTGGTGGAAGTGGGGGCGAAAAGGGGGGGGGGGGGTTGAGCCCTCTGAAAATTTGAAGAGCCCCTTTCAAAATTTTGAATTTTTTTTATACCACTAAAAGTAGAATAATGATAGCTAAAAAAAAGATAATTATGGTAATTTTGATAATGTTAGCTAAAAAAAAGAAGGTAATTTTAAGAATATTTGCTATAAAAAAAAGGAAGATAATTTTGAATATTGTTAACTTAAAAAAAAGTATTTAAAAAAATTTTTCGAGCTCCCTGAGATTGTAAAGGATAGTGACGCCCATGCTTATACCGATTCAATCTTAACCTAACATCTGACTGACCCTATTTTAAAAAAATATACATATACATTGGCGAATCCTTTTGTTTTTTAAAAATAAATATATTTATAAAATGCAAAACAAAATGAAAGCACAAAAAATATTTTTTGATAAAAACCCCAACGATGATCAATACCAGTTTCTGTTTCTGAATAGAAATTTTTGTCAGGCTCGGCGTATAAAGTGCGTTTTACATTGTAAGTGGAATGTGGGAACGTGTTAAAAATTTCGAGATAAGTAACCAAAAATCCAGCTTTGCAACCATCATCGACCCAAACGTAATTATACGCATGCCCGTACGATTCTCCTGCAGAATAAAATTGTAAGATAAAATGTAATTATAGTTTAGTTTTAAGTTCTATTGTTACAATAAGAGTCGAATCTTATCCGAACATATTAGGGTCGATTTTTCAACAGTTCAATCGAGGAAATTTTTGATCGAATCGTATACTCAGACCTATACTTAAAATATAATTTTGGATCGGAATTCACATCTTCAAAAATAAACTCGGATTGGATTATTCAATAGGTCAATGCAAGATTTTAGTTCAGAGATAAAAAATTTTAAAAATAATGGGAGAAAATTAATTTGTAATTATAGTTATAGGATTCAATTTATGCTTTAGGTTAGTTAAAATAAATATAAGACTTTATAGAGATTATTTGAATGCTTGTTATATTACCGTCGGAAAATTATCATATTGGCTAGTAAGTACACAATAGTATTTTTAAAAGTTACTTCTAAAAAAGTAACTATCAAAGTTAATAGCTATATATTATTGAAAAGGTAAATAATTGTTTATAATTATATTATTTTTAAAAACAATTTCTTTATAAAATATATATCTAACCAATTATTTTTAATATAATTTATTTATTATTCAAATAATTTTGCCATTTAAAAATTTTAATCAAAGATATTTTAAATGAAAATAAAATTAAAATAGGAAATAATTACACTGAAAAATATATAATATTCATAAAAGGTATGTATGTTTTTTCCAGAAATAAGTTTTTCTAAACTAAACAACCGCTCGACTGGAGCGCTTGATGCAAGTGAGAGATATTTAATAATTAGTTATTTAAAATTTCGCAAATCATTATATAAAGATAATAAATGCATTTGTATTGAATATATTAGTTAGCAAAAAATTAACCAGAAAATTTGTTACTTTTGCCCATAAAATGTAACTAGTTATATTTGCCAAACATAACTAGTTGCCGTTATATTTATGCAAGATAACTCAAAAAATGTAACAAGTTACAGTATATTTTAACAAAATTTGTAAGCACTTTAGAAAAATTTATTTAAGACTTAGGTTGGAGTGGTAAGTGTTTTAAATATATTTTCCTAATGAATATCATGGACAATAAACGAATATTTGCTAATTTAATTTTATATTTGTTATTTATTTTCTGTTAACTTTCGTGTATATATTTAATAGAAGAACTTACCAAATACACATTTATTTTTCGAAAATTCTTCCAACAAAGCAATGTTAGTTATATTCCCCGGAGCCTGACATTGGTTTCGTCCTTTTAGACTTTGACAGGCTAACTATAATATATTAAATATTATTATTTTATCAAAAATATCAAATATTTCGCTAATGAAGATAAGGTGAAATTATCACCAAGTTCTTCCATGGGCTATTAAAAAATAATCACTATAAAGAAATTTATTGTTTAAAGTAGTTAAGAGCTAGGTAGTTGCTGTAGTATTAGTATGCTAAATGTTTTAATATACTTTTATCATTAAGGGTTAATTAAGTTAATTTAAATATTGTGATAAAAAAAATAACTTCTGCCGTCTCTTCGCGATTATCAGTCTCTACGGGACTTGAAGTCTGGTTATAATCTGGCAGGAAAACAGTGAAAATAGCTTGACACCCATTTGACACCCATATATTTTGATCCCTATATCCAAACGTCTTTTGATATTGGCATTTATTAGAATCAGCCTCTGTTTCACTACCTATCCTAGTATCATTATTATAATTGAGTTCCTTATAGTTAGGTTCAAAATCGTGTGCCATTTGCCGTTGTAATTGAATTCCATGAATGGGCTTACCTATATTACATTCTCTATATTCAGACCAGCCACTGCCACAGAATGTCACATATTCCCTAAGCAAGACGGGCTCTTTAGTTCTAAAATGTTCATTTTCTTCGTTATTTACGCCTGGAATAGTGTGAAATTCATTTAATGTGAAAAGATTATTGACTTCATTTAAGTATTTATGAGGCCATAGTTGAGTGTAATTGGATGTATTTGGTAGCGATGTAGTAATACTACTGTTAATGGGGTTTACCAATGAATATTGTTCTGTGTTATTAAGCACACTCCATCGACCGTATACCCCCGCAATAGCCGTGAATGTTCTATGCGGAATGTACCTAGAAGTGTAAATGTTAGGCTTATGTATATCTCGATAGATTCCCTTACCTTTTATTGTCGTTCTGCTTTTGATTGTTGTACTTAAAATCTCTTGTAATTTATGAATTTCGGATGAAAAAGTTGTATATTGAATATTATTTTGGTGATGTTGCCTTTCAAGTATACTATGCGGTCGTTCATTTTCGTTGATTAAATCGTCTCTTCCTTGATAATGATATTTACTATTCTGTGGTATATAACGAGAATACGGAAAATCAGAGGCCAAAAATCCTAATGAGCTCATGATTTTAATTCGAATCTGAAATATACCAGCGCATCCTTTGTCCACCCATATGTAGGAAGCGGATTTAATTGGTACAGGAAGGGCTTCAGGATTATGAACCTTTTTCATCAATGTCTCATAAATGACTTCGTCTTCAGGGTCAACACTTCTAATGTCAATACCATAGGTTTTGTTAAATTTGCAAGGAAATTTATTCTCATCTATTGATTTAAGTAGCTTAAACTTTTCCACAACTATCATTTTAGAATTGCCAACGTTCTTCTTCTTTTCATGATTTCTAAATCTGAAATCTCTTCCATAATTTTTAGAGTAATGTCTATAAAGATTTGTGGCAAAACCATCGGAATCATATGGTTCCAAAACTTTGAAAGTTGAATTTTCCACTTTTGGGGAAACCCCAAAATTAACACCCAATGGACATTCCCAGTATGTTTTGGTAGCCGGTGGACTAGCGCAGAACATAAAATCATCAAAGGGTCTTCTTTCCGGATATGTTCCTAAAAGCTTTCCAGCCAAAAGAGAATGTAGATAGTTGTACTGTTCCTCTTCCTGTTTAAATTTGACCTCGAATGTGGCCTTACACCCTTTGTCGACCCATATTCTGTTATTGACATACCCGTAAGAGCGTCTTTTGCGAGAACATTCGGCGAAGGATAGTTGTTTTAGCAAGCGAATAGAGGAAAGATTTCGAAAAAATTCGCATTCGTTTAGAGCGCCGGCACTTTCACAAGTAGCACTCTTGTATTCGTTCGAAAAAGTTTGTGATGTAGGAATCCTAGGACTTGTAAGCAATGATTGGATTGAATCAGCATTTGCTGAAAATTTATCGATAAAACCGAAAGGAGATTCGTGGTTGGGTGTTTGATAGTACACATCAAAAACAGCGGAACAGTCTTTATTAACCCATACTATACCTCGGTCTTGAATTGAGCCATAAGTTTGATTGACTTTGCATTCATTCCGATTCATTTGTTTTCTTTACCATATATATGTATATACATATGTGTGTGTGTTGTGAAGAATAAGTAATTAAATCACTGGCATAATAGACCAAAATCAAAGGAGGGCAAAGGGATGCAAACATTTTTTTTACTATTAAAGAGAATCTAAAAATGGATGGGAAATTTTTCTTATCAAAATTAAAATATAGTGGATCAGTAAAAAATTGAATAAAATAAACACTATAGGTTAATAAACTTTCTTTAAAAATATTGTCTAAAGATATAAGTATTTTATCAATAGAAATGTTATTCAAATAAACTAAAAGTTAATACTAAATATTAAAGGGCATAATATTTATGAGAAATGGAAAAGATCTTTGCCCCTCCCCCCCAAGCCTATATTGCTTTCTACTGAATAAAATATTGTAAAAAGTATTATGAGACTTATTTATTTTATTCTTTAATAAACAAAACTTTTTTTTACAAACCTAAAATATATAAATTTAATAGGACCTCCAACCAAACATTCTGAATATTTTCCGAAGTAACTTTTGCATTGGATTTGTTTGTGTTGTAAGGTGTTGTATATTTTTACTTTTGATTGAGTGTAAACTAATTTGAAATATAGTTATATATAAGTATAAATAAATTTTATTTTTTGTTAAATATTATCAATTATTTAATACAAGAAAAAATATAAACGAGTGGTATCCATTTGGCTTTTTTTTTAAAATAATATTTTCACATTTAGGAGTCGCTTGTATAATTATACTGCAGTTGTAATTAAACATTTGTTAAATATCGAATCATTTATATATATATATAAATATACCAAAGTAAATGTTCAATAGTAAGCTGATAAGGATCCAGAACATTTGATTTGCCTTCATTATTAAGATCATTTAACAATTATTTTTAATTATACTATTTGTGTCTCGATGGCTCTTAATTGTGAATTCTTTTAAAAACTCCATATATCTATAATATTATAAGAATTGTTGTTTGTGGAGAATAAAGTTCTTTCCATTTCCTCACATCTTATAGTGAATAATCTTAGAAATTAATAAATTATATTTCAATTCTGACAAATAATTTTTTTTAAATTTCATATTTAAAAAAAAACAGTAAAATAATTTTTATCTTTATTATTATATGCATTATTTATATGAATAAAACATAAGCAATTTTTTTTTATTTAAAATACAAATGAAAAGGCCAAAAATGATAGAGAAGGAAAAAAATCATAGTTAAATATATAATATTAAATTTTATATGATAGATTTATTTTTTCAATTAACTAAATATTTTCCTAAATATAATTTTGAATTAGTAAAATCCCCCCTCCGCCCCCTAATAAATGAATGAGTACGATATGTTATTAAAAAAAATTTAAATAAGTACAAGTAAAAGTTAATAAATTTTATAATTGTGATTTTTGAGAAATGCACTTTTTTATAAAAAAAATACCAAAATTTATATATTTGATAATGTATTCTAGCCAAAAACCTTCAAAGAAGGGAATGAAAAATAGGAAATATATTGCAAAAAAAACACCTAAAATTTTCCTCCTCCCTACAAAAATCCTGCATATACATAAGCTTTCTATATTTCGAAGTATTTTTTTTTACTTATATAAAGTATAAATTTGCTTCTAAAAATTGTTAATTTTAGAATATTTATAATGAACCAAATTGATTCTTTGGTATTTGTATCCAGGACAAGATCACATAAATAATCCATTAATAATATTATGTATGATTTATGTTACATGATCTAGTATTTTTTTTAAGATATAATATTTTATATTAAAAATATGGTGTAAGGAACAAATAAAATATTTTACAATCCTTCGTATTTTTTTTTAAGACGAGAAAGAGGTCAATACAACATGTATTAAAAAGGGATAGAAATACATATATTACGAGAGTATAAAAATACTGTATGGGGGTTTTAATAGTTTATCAATGAATTTTTTAAAAAAATGAAAATAATTACGAATCAAAAACGTAATAGCAACCATTAATTTTTTTTAATTTTAAAACCTTAATCATTCTTTACATGGATAAATAATTTTTATTTTATATAATCGCCTAAAAACCTGCAAAAAGAACTAAAATTAGGTTAATATCATATTTTTTATTTTTAAATATTTTCTTTGTCAAATAATTATTTTTTTTTTAAAAAAAAATAGTATTAAATGATACTAATAATAAATATAATAATGACAAGATATAATATTTTTAAAAAATACTATAAATCCCCTGGTGTTAGATACTTATCTCCTACTTCAGCCCATATTCACTTTTGGGCTTACCTTAACCTAGTCTAAAAAATTGATTTCATAAAACAAATTAAGGATAGGAATCTGAATCAAAACTTTGGGGTATTTAAGAGAGTTTCAACTGTACATTTGACATCCTTCTCCTTCCTCAAATAATTTTATTTATTTATTAATGAGAAAAAACGCTATCTGAACTAGAGGTCTGCATTGGTCGGGTTTCCTGCCCGGCCGCCAGGCGGATAGGCCGTAGTACATCTCACATTATTCCATCTGATTTATTCCACAAATGAAACACCTCATCAAAATACTCCCGATATTTCATAATAATGATCTTTTAGAGTTCAGAGTGCCGGGCTATGGAAAATACACGCTCGCTGGGTGTGCTCGTAGCTAAAAGGCACAGGATCCTTCTAGCTAATATTGAAAGTTTAGGAAGATCCAATGCTCTTATTTTCCAAAAATCTAACACACCCTTCATCTTTAAATTATAAGGGAATAACACTATTTTTCTAGAGTAGTTAAATAGTTATTTTGTTCCAGATTATTTTCATGAATAGATGAATGTTACGTAATGAATAAGATAATCGAATTCTGAAGCAACTTCCGTCGTTTCACATTTGGTTATTTCGGCCGTGTAAGGCAACAGAGCGAAAATTGCACCGGAGAGATATTTTTTTCCTTTAAATATTCATTTATGTTATTAGATTGAAAATGAGGATCCAAAAGTACTCCTAACATAAGTAAAAATATAAAACAAAGATAAATAATATTTAAAAAAACTAATTTATGTATTGAAAAATAATACTCGAAGATCGGTTATTGGAAATCTATGATCAAATTTAGTAAACATATTTTGTTTAAGGGATGCTATGGGAGGATTATCCTTTCTTTTACGATTATATGATTTTTAATCTAAACTACGAAATAATAAGGATAAATTTATAGTAAATCCTTTTTGGGCGGATAAAATTCAACAGTTTTTTTGAAGATTTTAAGAAAATTTGAAAGTTCAAGCACCAAGTCCCAATCGGAGCGTAATAATTTGAGATCCGATTTCTCCAATATATTTAATAGAATATTTATAGGATTATTGTTATTGGCACTTACACTTTCCAGCATTATTAAAATATTATGCTAACTAGTAGGCACATTTAATTTTAAGATTTAATGTTTTTTCTCTAATCATATTTTTGATTTACATTATGATCATCAAATCCGAAACGATCTTCATAAAAGGATCATTATCATCCAAATCTAAAATATCAGATTTTCTTAAATTTATTGAAAATTCTACTACGCAATTATGGTTAGACCACCTCGTACAACCAGTCAGCCCGAGTTACCTATTATCCCGCACCAAGAGCTGACCCCGAACAACTCTTTGGAGGGACCCCCTAGCGATCCTATGCCATAGTTACGGCGGTGCAAGCCATATCGACACAGGCCGAACTGACTAGGGTGAGTAGAAACAGGGAAAGACGAGACAGGTCTTCGTCTCCGCACACTTCTACACCAAGACGAATAGAATCGCGCGCACCCACTCCTCCGCCACCGACTCTAGTAGCCACTCTTGTCGTGCCGGCCGTCCCGCTCACGCCAGCTGAGAAACATGAGAAGCTCAGGAGGACATTAGAGGTATTGATTTTAGTTTGATCGGATAATGAAGAAAGTTCTTAGATACCTCGAAAAGTCACTGATGACACGCGTCGATCCATCCGATTTCGGGATAATGTAAAGAGGGGAACAGATTTGATTAGGCGCCGCGGATTCCTCTATAATATCTGCTGCGAGATGTTGTCGGATAATATCTCGATATTTGCTGTGGACCCTGACTGTACCCTGTGTCGAAAGAATGTGTTATTTTTATTGTTGATTTTTGTGTGGTCAGTCTAGGTTGAACTCTTGTTGCTACTTTTCTTGTAAAGGGTGACATTAGCGGACCGCTGGTTAAACGAGCGTTGCTGATGTTCAATATCAGGAGCGATTCGAGCTGATTGTCCGTGAAGATCCCCTAGTTCCAGGCCTGTCGATACCCGTAAGAATACCGCCTAAGTCCGGAGCAGCTGTGGACCTTACTTGAGGCATAGCAGAATCATCTGAGAATATGGATTCCTCCAGTTCCGAAATGATGGACGCGCTCGAATTGTTGCTTCCCGAGCTGCTTGAAGGTAGGAATGCCGTAAGTGGACTGTGGGTCCACTATTCTGGAATTTCCGAGTCTTCGGATAAAAGGGACAGAGTGTCCGATTCATCGGCAGCGCTAGTGATCGGACGGTTGCGCGGGGGAGTTTGATTATTGTCTTCGGGTATTGAAACTACGCTGGTGCCCGTGTCCAAATCGTAATCATTGGGCGAGAACAGCTGATGCCTCAACTCTCTTAGAAATTTATTCACTTGCACTATCCATGGCGAGAGTTGAGCTGTTCGCCCCACTTGGGCCGGAAGTCCGTCGCCCATAACCTCCTTCGAAGGGGCTATGTTTGGATAAATAGAAGAGGTAGGAATATATAGAATATTTGAAGAAGAAGGGAGAGAATTAGTAGAAGAGACGGGAATAGCTGGTATGGGACTATTTCCTTTTCTTGCCCCTGGAGGAGGCCGGTTCCTTCCTTTGTCCTTCTATAGGATCCCGATGTAGAGGGGCCAAGGGCCGTGAATCGCCGTATATCTTAATCTCTTCTCCTCCGAGGAACTTCTCCTGATATGACGCATCGTTGTTTATAGCGGTTTGCCAATTCCAATGTATGGCTAATGCTAGAACTCGGATCCTTTTGGTCATTTCTTCCATAAGCCTAAGATCCGTGGCATAGGCGTAGCCAGGATTTTCATAAGGGGGGGGGAATTAAAAAATTACTGGGGGCTTCGCTCCCAGACCCCCTTTTGGGCGGGCCTTCGGCCCGCTTTTCCCCGGCCTTCGGCCGGGTTACTTTAGTTTATATATGGTCATAAAATATTTTTACAAATTTTAATAAAAAAAATAAGCCTGGAACAAATATGAAATATATTTTTATTAGTTTATATAAAATATATTCCACTGTTTGTATTGTGCTTTAATTTTTTTTATTTAATTTATGATTTAATTTTATCAATAGTTTTATAATTATATTTTACTTTTACTAAGATAAATAAATTAAAATACTCACTTTATAAAAAAATATATTTGGTATATTATATTATTTAGTAATTTTATGGATCTATTATTAATAATTATAATACATTTCACTTCTGTCTTAAGACTTATCTTTGGCTTATATTCATTTTATTAAAAAATATTTTTGGTTCATTTTATATATTTATAAATTTATTTTCCCAAAAATCTATGAATTATGATGAATAGTTTTATAAAAAAATATCAACTTTTACATTCTTTCTTTTAAATTATTATTTAAGATATATGCATACATATTTGAGGGTCAGGGAGTGGGGGGAGGACTAAGGGGGATATTTTTTATTAGTTAAAAATGATATTTACAAAAAGTGATAAATTTCTGAAGGGGGGGAATTTCCCCTTGCCCCCCCCCTGGCTTCGCCTATGATCCGTGGTGACATCAATTATTTCCAGCACATTGGCGATGTGCTTTATCTCGTGTCTATAGCGGACACTGGCTTTGCACTTAGGCTCGAGGAGGTCGTGATGTAATCCCGCCCATACTTTACTGAGTTT